GAATCGTACTACTTTCACACTCGTGTCCGATAATGGTAAATTTGGATTTTTTTTTTTCAATCAGAAAATTAATAAATTCGACATTTTCGACGGAATTCAACGTCTAGCGAGCAGTTTTCTTCTGTGGCGTAACAGTATGATCGACGAACGAAAACACGATACACACTAGCGTTCATGCAGGTTTAACGACTCGCCGCAAAACGAACTGCTAATTATACGCGACAAACGTGAACACCTCGGCGTTCGTTAGATTTCCATCTCATCAACGTTAACTGCTCTCTTGCGATCGCAAAAGCTCTTCCGCGTTAGCATCCTCACAGACTCTCCGACACAACCGCTACGAAACGAGCACGATTCAGCGATTCCCTAACTCTTACAACACACCCCCATTCCGATGGAATAATGAACTACTGTCAACGAACCGGTTACTTCAGAGAGGAACCAGTTTATTTTCATAGTAAATTGAATTCGATCATTCGTTCCGCTTACAAAACTGATAAATCTCGAGATAAAAAATAAAGAAATTAAAATACACCGTGAAACAGACGCAAAACTAAGATTACTTACAAAAGTCTACTCGGAATAGTTACTATGGGTCGCATCTGACCTCGTTTCCGATTTTCAAAAGTGGATTCTCGAGGAACAAAAGTGGATCCACCTGTGTGAATGACGAGAGAGTACACATTTCTTCCAGCTTCAGAATCTACATTGAGGAAAGTTCTTCCACGTTTTTCCTCCTCTGATTCAATTTCTATTCAAATCTCTCTTGATCTTTTCCTCAAGCACCTTTTTTCTCGCGGAAGATCGAGATCGATTCCTCTGTTTATCATCGAACGGAATCGCGCACCAAGGGGAGGGGGGCAAGATCTGGCCTGGAAGTGTTTTCATGGATGATTCACGAGGCCACGGTGAGGTCGAGAAAGTTTACAGAATCAGTGGAAAAATTGGTTCTCCACTGGCTAGAGAGAGGAGAGACAGACAGAGAAAGAGAGAGAGAGCGTGCAAGAGCGGACAGATAAGTGGGTGGACACGACATGATGCCACACGAGTGGTGGATCGTGCGTACACACACACATACATACACGTACACGCACGCCAGTAAAGGAGAATGGAAGGCGGGGGCGTTCAGTGGGGGGCCTTAATGAGGATGCTGCTGATTATCCAATTCGTAAATTCTCGCTACATTTTGATCGTGCTCGCAGAGCCGCGAGTAACAAGAATTACTGCCCCGATATCTCTGTGCCACCCGATTACACCCGGCCGTTCCTCCGATTTTTCGTGATTTCCAATCCTTTCTTCGTAAACAACCGCGATTTCGTACACTTTCATTATCCTGGGTCTCAACCACGTTTCACAGAGGTATTTTCATTCCTTTCTTTAGTTATTTTTTTGCACCACGCTACATCGAGTAAGTAACGTATAACGAAAATTTGAACATCGAGAAAGAAAAGAGCACTTTAATCTAGACAGAAATCGATGGAATTTTATTCGAAGAATGGATAATAAGAGAGAATTAGGAGTTAATTCAGGGGATAATAACTCTGTCCAATTCCTAAGCTACACATATTCTGAATTGATCGATACAGGATTTCGAAAGGTATTTGTGAATAGAGCACTTCAATAGACGGATACCGGAGACGTCAAAGATTCATTAATCGATATTTTCGTCAACTTCTTAAAAGTAAAGGACCGCGTCGTGGTGCATATTGATTGCATTCACGACGCGCTGCATTGACGCAATTGCACCGTCCAGGCGCTCATTGCCAAGGACAACGCAAGTTCCTTTCTTCGCGGACGCGTCGGGGTCGAGACAATAGCGGTTGTATAATAAAAATACCGCAAACGTGGGCCGCCGATGGCACTCATCCTGCATTAGAATCTTTTTCAACCCGTCGACAGTCACCTTAACCAGAATATAGCTAGTGAAACGTTCAATTCAAAGCTATATAATTGATTAAAAAAAGCTTGAAAATTACTGAAATTCCGATCGTCCACGATCATTTCTATAAAATTTTCATTAAACATCCTGTTTTAATGTTCAGAGAAAAAGGTCTCGATTACTTAAAAGATTTCACGTGTATCACGTGCATTCAAAAACCGCCCAACTCGCGGCCCACAATTAATTGTCAACGGTGGAAAGGCGTTAATTAGAAACGGAGCAGGGAGAGAGAGAGAGAGAGAAAGAGACAGAGAGTCTGGGGTACGTGCGTCGGGGTCCAATTAAAAGATGACGAGGCGTCGCGTCGCGTTTCCACGTCGCGAGTATATACATACATACACGCAAGAATGCCTGAACCCGCGAGATCAGATAGCACGTGGACGTTGGCACCGCGCGTAGGTTACCTTCGGAACGATTCCGATTCGACCGTACCTCTTGCCTCTTGTCTCTATAGGTCACCGTATAAAAGGTACGCCGTGGAGACCACGCGTGGAATTTCTTCTCCCTGGAGAGCTCTCGGAGGGTGGGGGTTCTCGAGTATCGGAGCAGATTGTATGCAAATCACGCGAGGGGACGAAGGCGAATTTTTCGCGAATCATTACACGGTGTCACCCCCTCCGATCGATTACCTCCTGGTGTAAAGTTACGATCGATGGATCCCCGTTCCATTAAGAACTACCAATGCGAAGATTCATAAAGTTTGACGGATAATTTCACATTTCTTCTATGTATCTAGGTAGATGTGTGTATAATTGTAATAAATGTATGTCTGTGTATAATGTAAATAATCCCTTTCGCGATCTCGCTTTAAATTTTGTATGTTTATTATTGCATGTGTTTCGATGAAACGAAATAAAAGTAAGCGAAAAATAAAGGTAAAATTCTCTAGAAAGAGCCTCTAGACTTCGCGCATTTTTTCGTGATCCCTCTCGCGATCTCGCTTTAAATTTTAAAATAGCACAGCGTACGCAACGTCGCGCGAACCGATCCGCCCGATCTAATCGGACAAGTTATACACGAGTAAGTGCTTATGCAGCCACCGCGCTCGTATTATGCAAGCGTCACTCGATGTAAGTGCACCTTTTAGTGTCACAATCCCAACAGTTAACAGGACGACGTTACATCGACCAGCCGGCCCGGGGATCGATCGTGTTTCAACGGGGCTGCCCCCTTTTTGCGAAAAGCTGATTCCAGAATTCTTTCGAACATCCGTACTTTTTTCGGTCATAAACAAAATTCCGCACTGTAATGTCAAAGATGACGAGCTGGTTCGCCCTGTATGTAGTCCAGTAATAATTCCACTTTCCTATTTACATACGTTTGAACGGGCGATCACGTATCTAATTAAATTACAATCTTTCAATTAACGAATAAGGAGTTAATGTTACAAGGCATTGTAAAGTTACAGAATATTTAAAATAAAAATTGTTCAAGGGATATTAAACCTCGACAGACAACGCTTCTATCAAGTTATGAACGTGACGCCCAAAGTATATAATTCCTACGAAACGTCGCAATTTTCTTCGCACAAACCAGCTGACCCCAATACCAGAATTGGACACTATTTTATTCCAATAATACACAGTGAAAACTGACAAACTAAATTTCTATCGTTTATCATTCATTCGAAACTTTTCACGTAGATATTTATCTAATTAATTAATTTGTCAATCACTGCCTAATACTCATGAACTATACACATCGTCCCAGCTTAATCTCTCCCATTCGAATCGAACAGCATGAATAATCAGCAATAAACGTGTATAACTCGATGACACGTATATGAACACAACGAAGACAGTATCAGATCCTCAAACACCCACTGTGTTCTACGCCAATCAACAGAGATTACGATTACGCGGCGTCGTCGTCGCCCGGAAACCTGTTACGTGTTCGAGGCTCGTAACGAGGGCCCCGTGTACACGAGTAAAAAATGCTCGACGAACATGCGGGAAATTCAGTGCGCTCTTCCCCTGTTCTGTCCCCCCTTCCACTAGTGAAACGCGCCATGAATTAACGTAATCAACATAGGGAGGGCCTCGGAACGAGCCCTCCCCCCCTCTTCGCCATAGTCGCTGGGGCACAATAGGTACATATCTCGTAGCGCGTTAAAACTACAATGGCCGCGTACACGGCTAATTGAAACATTTGCCTCGGCGATTACTGGGCCAGCCGGGCTGGTAAACATACGCGGGAGCATGCAATTTTCTCACGCCAACACTCGATAAATACCACACACACTGCCCGCGCGACGAATCGCGACGTTACTGGTGTTTTACTCGACCGGGCGAGTCGTTTCAGACCTTGGGCTCCGACAATTTTGCTTACGGAGGCGGTTCGTGTGAACCACGAGATGCTATGCGGAGCTGACGGTGACTGGAAATCGCTGTTCAAATTCGTCTTTATCGAGATACATAGCACTTTTACTTCAGGACTTGTTGTCAAACCTGTTGAAGATATTTAATATGTAACATTTCGATGTATTTGAAACATGTTTGCTTTATGATATGGACTTGGGATAAGCTTCTTTTGTTTTTGGGTCGTAGTTTTAAACTGATTCCCGTTAGGATGAAGTATCTAATATTACCCCGTACTCCAACTAGCCCATATTTAGACCCTAGCTTGTATTTGGACCACGTGTATTGCAACGAGAAATGTATCGCATCTTCGGTGTGTTCCGTTTCACAAGATTCTGAAATCCGATCCAGCACCTCCAAAGAAAAGCTGGAGGTCTCGTGACTCCCTAGAGAAGCTGGAAACTACAAGGAAAAATTACATTCTCTGTCCCGTCCCACGTCTTCGAACAGCTATACTCAATGGGACACTATACGAGTCGAAGTTCGACGATCACACCCGTTCGTTCTCCATCGCAAGAAGATCTTCGGAAACGGTGATCCATCGCGTTTGATCAACAGTCTAACAAGCAAGAACGACGTCGACACTTGACAAATTTACGACGACTGCAGCAACAAGCGACCAGTGATTTCCAGTTAACCGTAAGCTCTCGAGGCGCCTCGGGGCACAAATGTCCGTGTGGAGAAAAACCGAAAAAAAAACTCACCTAGGGAGCTCTCTGGATCGGACAGGTCGGAAAGTGAGGGCACCTTCCGCATCGAGGTGAACCTGCCGGGGAGGGCAGGCACCAGGCCCTCTTCCTCGGCATCGGAGGCGAGCTCCTGTTTCATCAGCTTCGCCATAACCGTCAACATACCGCCGCCACCGTCGCTAATGCTGCCGCCTCCCAGATAGCTGCCCACGCCTCTAGCATCGCGCTGCAAAGGAAAAAGCACACAATCTTTCAATCCCGCACCACCACCGCGTACATATTCTATTGTGTTGCGGGAGTAGAGACGCAAAAAAAATTATTCGGTAATAGAGGTTTGCTTTTGTTTTTTCTTCTTTTGACGTGGAACACTAGGAGGTAAAGATCGCCATTGACAGTCTCTCGGTGTGTCGTGGTAGCAAACGGATCCATTTCGGTGGCTACGCGCATTGCTCGATGAGATCATCCGCTTTGTTGAACATCACACGGCCGACAAGAACCTTTTCCAAGGAGACGCGATGTCTGTGCTTGGTAGCATTGAACATGCTCTTCGAAAACGTCAGGTAAATGGAGCTTCTATGCGTGGACACCTGGAATTTTATTCCATCGCGAGAAGAAGTATCCAGAGAAACTGGGCAAACTATGTACACCTCGTGTTGTTTAATTTGGAGCAGTGCCTAACACTTTGATGTCGGATGACGTGGTAGTACCTACGTCCTTCTTAAATAAGTACTAGAATGGTAAAAAAAATAGGGAAAAATCGGTTTTCCTATGTGTAAAGTTTTAATAACATTGTGTCAGGTATAAGGGGACCAGAACGAATTTTATATCCGCAGCCGAATGTTTCATCGAACCGAAAGTGCAATAAAGGGAAACTTCATTAAAAGAAGGTCGAGAGGATCGAACACCGAAAGAGGAGATATCGCGATCGCTACGAACCTAGATCAGAGTCGCGTGAGAGGAGACGCGCGGCGGTTCTCGGCGGAGGCATGAATGGACGGTGAACCTGCTGAAGTTGACGTGCCGGAAGGGGAGAAGAGCGGAAAAAGAGCAACGGTTGGAGGGTAGGGGGACAAGGAGAATGGCCAACGGGGGCGACAAAGGGGGGAATGGGTGTGGATAACACAGGAACGGAGGCCAGGAGTAAAAGAGAGAAACTAAATCGGTGAATAAGAAACGGGGGAACGGTAGAAAAGGATAAAAAAGGCAGTCAGAATGAGAGAAAGAGAGATGGATGACCCAGGGGTTCGACGAAGGACGAGAGGGAGAGGAAAGGGTACGAGGGACAAAGACGCTGAAGAAAGCGGAGAAGAGAGAGAGGAGAAACCGCAAACGCGATCGGGACGAAATCAAAGTCGAAAGAAAGAAGACCTGGAGAGGGAAAAGCTATTGCTCGTTCTAAAAATATCGTGCCCTAAGCTAGATCGGACCCGTATAAATTGAAATGAAAGAAAAAAATGTCGGAATAGATATATACAGATACCGCAGAGGGAGCGAGAAATGGAGGTGAAAATCGTGCAAACAAATTTACATCTGGCGAGAAAAGATCGAAAGCAAAAAGGGAGGAAAAGGAGGACGGGGGAACGATCAAGAAAGAAGGATGCATCGGGCCCCAACGCAGCGCGGCGGTGCAGCGACAGCCACGACCGCTTGACCTTCGCGCAGAGGGACCACAAGTTGAATGAAACCGCTGCCACACAAGAGAGTGACGCAACGGTACGCAATGCAACGACAGGGACGCGATGCAACATTCTAACCTCGCCGTACCTACGCTCTCCTCCCCTCTAACCAGTCTAAATCACTCTCTCTCTCGCTCACTCGCTGTCCTTTTACGATCTGCTCTCTCTCCTCTATTTCTTGCTCTTTCCCCTCTAATTCATTCCAGTGTCCCCTTCCGCGCCGCGACCTAACCAGTCCCCACCCTTCCATCGTGAACCTAACCCAGACTACCAGTAGATCGGAGATGGACAAGTCCGTGGCTATCACTCGATCTTCACACTTTTAGAATCTCTGGACGACTTTTTACCGGGAAAATTGTCCAGTCAATTGTATGAAGATTTTGTTCGTGCTCGGGTCACTGGGTTAGATCTACAATAACAGATGTTGTATTCGGGACCATTGGTGGAAAGAGCTGTATAGGAGAGAAACTTGGTGCACAACTGATCTAGATGTACAGGATTAGAAACAGACAGTATTTTGGAGTACCTCGAACAAAATAAATAAAATACTTGGGACTACAACCTGGATTCAGAAAACATACGAATTAAAAGAAGACAAATGTATTGGCTAACTGATAAAAAATCCAAACTCAGTTTAATCCCTGTTATCCCCTGGATTGCTCCCTGGAACTGTAACCGATCGTTAGTGATGACTAAACGATTCGAGTAATGCGAAAAGAAAGTCAATTCCTTGTTAATGGAGGGGCGGCCCTAACCGCCCGATTAAATCGCGGATCGAACAACGGCCCCTCTATAACGCCACGATAATTATTTTCCACTACGTATATCGCCGGTATACGTGCATGCAACACGTGTATGCAGATAACACATAGTTCGTACGGATCGTAAAGTCTTGTCACGCGTTCACGCTCTTCGTCTTTCTCCGCTCGCATCTCGATCTGTTTACCTATCTCTTCCTCTTTCATCATCGGTATTCGAACGATACATCGTCTCGCGCTGCGATTCGTTCCACCACAGCGTTTGGCTACGTGATCGAACGTTCTTGGCCAGGCCACGCTACGAACCAAGCTACCTCCTGAGCTATGCGAGAGCATACGATACCGTCTCTGTAGATCTGCCCAATGTTCGACTGACTTCGACCAGCGACAATTTCACTGTCAGTGTGGTATTAGGTGGGAGGAGGCAATGGAGATCGTGGGATACCAGAAGTGATCATTACAATTTCCGTCAAGTAAACGGTTACACTCGTCAACTTATCGATACTATCAATATTCTATACCATTAGATACTTCACATAATGAAAATTTCATTTCTGTTCTACAGGCAAGACATGGAAAATTCGCCCAGGAGACAACGTACCTACTATCATCTTTTCGTTCAGAAATTTTTTGCTTCGGAAGTCCTTTACTTCAAAAATCTTTTTGCTTCAGTACTCTCTTAGGTCATAAATAATTCGTTTGAGGCTACCACCTGACTAAATCCTCTACACATCGTACATTTAAATATTCCTTTAGGTTCGAAAATTTAAGAGAGCCTACACTCAAGTCATGCAATACCAATCGCGTATGCGATAGAATCGAGAAGGCAGCCCGCCCACGCGCAGCGAGCAGCAGCAACAGCAGCGAATTCGCTCGCTCGCAATCGATGACTGTGCATCGTACTCGCAACTCGCGCCTATATAAATTAATCGTCGTACGAATTGCGGGTGATGCAATCCGTAATGATTTCTCGGAAACGGAGCTCGTCGGCTGGTTTCGTTTCTCGCGTACCTTACTCGCCAAAGCAGCTCGAAATAGCCCGTGATCTTTTGTCCTTACGGTTGCGTATCGGGACGTCTTATCGGGCATATTTGGAACAACGAGGATCGATCGTAATTCGATCTTTGTAATAACAGACGGGTACACTTGTATCTGGCAGCAAGGAAAGGTACAATCCAAACAGACAACGATCAAACCCTAAAAATGAAAGAACGAAGTTATACATACAATAATATTAGTCTTTCGTTGATTCGACATCAATCATTTTGGATTTACTTTCAGTCGAGAATAGAATGATCGCTGTTCCCGTAATCCATGACAATAATCACGTCTATCGTAAGAACAAGCACGGACTATTTAAAGCGAGAAACGTAAGAACGAAAAGCGTTAAGCTCCAATTTTTATTCATAAAGTCTGTTCTTTCGACATCTCGCCGCGGCCCCGACTTCGTATATACTATGTATATCCATATGAACGAACTTGGACGAGGCATTATGCTCGTTCTGAAACGGACTCCGGCCGTTCTCTGAATGAATGAGTAACAGGGGCCCTTGTGTACGAGAGATAGAGAGAATCGTCAAAAGATCACAAGGGAACTGAGAAAGAGGAGAGACACGAAGCCGAGGCTTGTGTGCGCGGAACGAAGAGACAGCAGAAAGAGAGAGACCACGTCGAGAGAGACGCCCTTGAAAGGAAGAAACGAAAAGAAGCTATTAGCACGCGTTTTCTCATGCCGGCACAGTTCGTTGCTATTTTTACTAACCCTGTTTTGTTCCTGCTTTCTTCTCGTCCCTCTTACGTTCTCTTGATTATACACTCTTTGTGGCCCTCCGAGGGGGGTTATTACCTTGCAACACTTCGTGTCGAAGATTCGGCCCCTAAGTGACCACCATCGAACCATCATTCAGACTCTCAAAGATCCTCGATTGATAGTTCAATTTTCGTTTGGAAAACAATAAAAAGAACACGGTCTCCAAGAAACCTCCAAGTGTCCTGTATCTCTTCGAACTCGCGATCCAAATGAATCGATCGTTACCGTTTCCGCTTGGAGAACAGTTTCGTCGTAGCAATGAAAATCGTCGAGAACTGGGGTGGATACGGTTCTCCAACGTCGTAAAAATTTCAGAAAGATATTCCCATCGCGCATGGCTGTCGCATTAAAAATGAAACAGCGAAACCCGCCGAAATAAAAAGAAGGAAAACGCGACGAAGGGAGTTCCGAACGGGTTCAACGAGAGCAAATGGGCAGGGATTGTTTCGTAGTGCCGGGCGATAAAAATAGATTTTTCAACCGGAGTTCCCGGTAAATGGTCCTTTCAGACATGTAGATCTATTTGAGAGGAGATGCATGCGCGCGATCCGAGAATATTTTTCCTCGAGATTCAGAACTGTTTTCAGCTGAAAATCACCGGGGAATTCATCGTCACTGGCTTTCAAATTATACTCGCTATTCGTGACCATGGAGCCAAGATTATTGAAGATATTTCGAATTTTCGAAACGATCACCGGTTGCGACGACGAATCGTGAAATTATTCTAACTCCCGTTCCTGAGACGATATCGACACAACCGTCGAAATTAATTCGAATGAAACACGAACGAACCCGACAGGTCGAAATCCGCGACAGGTTGACAGCTAGATCACGAATTGAAGAACCGACGACGAGCCGCGTAATTATCAATGTGGAAGACGGAATAGGTAATGATTAAAAAAAAATCAGAATCGACCGTGTGGATATCGAAACGCGAGTAATTTCCGTTCAGAAGCCTCTTGGATCACGTTGGACGAACGTGAAGTATTATACATATATATGTACATCGATTCTTCTCAGACTATCTCAAGGTTAAAACCGCGATATCAATCGAAGATAGCCGATTTTTGAATGAACAAGCAGCCAACAGTGTGTTGTATCGTGTAGAGACCGTCGAAAGCAGATGTGGGATTTTAACGCTCGAGACCATGAATGAACGTAATATGTGGATTCTCTTAGACCGAATGTCGCCTGGTGCACGCGCACGTACACGAAAGAATCGCATCGATAAGATAAACTTCGAACGAGGAGGCATCGAGCATTGCAATTTTCAATCGCGAAACACATGCTTAATACAGCCGATTAAGCGTTTCGTTTATCGACGGCAACTTGTTATTCTTTTTTTTTTAATGGTTCCATTGCCAATAGAAACTCGTGGAACAACGTGTAAAAGAAACTGCAATTATCGTTAACAAAAATCTTTATCCGTTTCCCTATAACGATTTAAAGTCTCAGCTGTTCCAGACGGTCTCCTTGGTACATATTCACGAACGTGTCTGGTCCACTGAAGAATTCACCGGTTAATTATGCGATATTCTCTAATCAAGACAGTGAAGCTAGTCCATTATTTGAGCTACGCTTGTCAAAGAGAGGAACCGACTTAGCTCGTGTTCTTCGTCCGCGAGGATTCCGCGATCGTCGGCCTTCAGCCTGGAAAATTCGATGAACTTCACCGATAAGAGTGACGACAACAACCCACGATCAATGGGAGAAGACTGTGTAACGTGACGTCCGCCATTCATCTATTCGCCCATCTATTTATACACGTCGATCATTTTTATCTCCGATGAATGACACAGAAGAGACGCACGATTGAAAAGTTTTCCGCTAGATCGGCCTGGTCACAACCATATATACCATATATAAAGGGAATTATTTAAGCCAAAAAGGTTACCACCGTGTGTGTTATATACAGAGGGTGATTCATAAATACGTGTCGATACTGCAAGGGGTAAATCTGGACATTAATACAAGTAAAAAACCTCACGTGAACGTATGTCCTATATACTTTAGTTTTCGACTTATGGATGATTAAAAAAAATGTTGGAAATGCCCGCCCTGTGTCTCATCATAAGCTACTAAAATTAAAAACTATTGTGTATTCAGAAGTGGCAAGCACTTTGAATATTTTCTTTAATAATCAATGACTCGAAAACTAAAGTATGTAGAACCTATGGTAAGTATTGACATGCATTCATAAACCAACCTGTATGTAATGTATATTTAGAACTTTCTGAATCATGGTCGCATTAACGCATACTCGATCCACCACCGTAACAAAAATACAAATCGATACTATCGAACCGGTAAAATTGGACTCTCCTCGCGGATCAAAAAGTAGATCTTCCGATCAGAGAATGAAATTATAACGTAAAATAGAACTCACTCGGTCAATGGAACGATGCGATACATGGAATTGAAGCTGCGGGAGTAGAGCAAAGTGTATCGCGATCCATGGTCGAAGAGAGAGAGTACGGTTTTTCGGCGGAGTTCTGCGGAGGACTTCCGGTAGAGAAACTGAGAGCACCACCAGGCCCAAGTGGCCAGTTCCTGCGCGCCCGGGCAAACAACAGCTGTCCTGCTTTCCTCTTATTAATATTCATCGACAGATGGCCGTGAGTCAGAGAAAGAGCGAAAAAATTGAGACTACTTTCGGTAAAATTCGTTGACACAGAGATTACACTATGCTGGTGTTGTTGCTGCTGCTGCTTGGACGGTTCGCGTGAACGTTCGCACAGGAAGTGCCAGCGTGAAACGACGGCTCTGGGATAATTGCGGGGCCTGTGTACACGTGGAACGTTGCAGTGCCCCGTGTGCTCCGAAGATTTACGGCCCGAGGAGAATGAAAAGAGAAGAAAAAAATGCAACGAAGAGGAAGGTGGAACCCGTGACTTTACGACGATAACTAATTTTTAATTTTACAACGCGCGTACGATGACGACGACGCGACTATTTGAAGATCGTAACTGTCTCCATGTGGTCGGAGAGCATCAACGGGTCTGGAAAGCCTAATCGTTACAACACGATCGAACGAACGAACCATCGAGAGACGCTCGTTCAGTCAGGGGAGAAAACAAGCGTAATCGGTATGCAGCGGGAAGCTAGGAAAGGAAACGGATGCACCACGCCCGAATCGTTTAATCCTGAATCGATGCCTAACGAACCGCCACCGTTTCAATCCCTAATTGCTCCCGGACTGGGCCCCTATCTCTGTCATCAATCAGATTCGAAACCGTTCCTATATTACTTCCTTCTACCCGAGCACACTGGTTCGCGTTCTCTGCAAACAGTCGTTCCGATTCGAGAAAAGGTGGTGACACTGTCTCTGGATAAATCAATCTCTCCACGGGACGATATTCATTAACCTTTAAAGAGTACCGGTCAGATACTTCCGTGACTTTTTATATTTTCCAGTTAGAACTATTATGTATTTGTTATAGTGGTATACTACGACAAATAAACGACCCCTCTGCAGCCTAAAAATATGCTTCTCGTCCCTCTACAGGTCTAATCCCGCTGCAGAATAGAAATAGTGTCTTCGAAGCGATTTCTATGTTCCATCACTTATCTACTACCTTCAATAATCTTCCCTAACTTCACCGAACCCAGCACTTCATCTTCAATACTCCATCAATCCCACTTCTTTAAGAGGTGTTCTCCATTCAACAATCCATAACGCAACCGTTCTCCTCCTCCTTCCGTCACTTTCCATCGCATTAAATCTTCCAAGAGAGAAGGAACAATAAAGAGGAACGAAATATCGTCCTAAAAAATTGACTTTGTTAAGGAACGCATCATCGCGAGATTCTTCAGTTCAATTAACGTATGCGCACTATGTGCTGTGTCCTCCAGTGAATTACATAACGATGTTATTCCCTTGTCAACCCTCCAATTAATGGAAAGATGCAAAGCAGGCGTGCGTTGGTGTAAGAGAAAGGGAGAGAGAGGGATAGAGACGGATACCGACGCAGCGGCCGCTAGAAAACGTGTGACGTAGTTGAGGCAACGGTGCATCCGACTAGAACGAGCGGCGCATGCAGAAGCTCCACGACCGCACCACGCGAGAAGGGATGCTATTTCTGGCTACTTAGATTTCTCTCCTTTCTCTCCTTCTCCCCCCGAGAGACCGGCTACCGTGCACACACGCGTGTATACACGGTTCTCCCCACCCCCGTGTGCTTCTCTCCCTTCTGCCCATCCCGTTCCTTTCTTTAACGAACCCGACTTTCCGTTTCTTCGATGTCCCTTTCGCTTTCGAACGATATCGCGTATTATATGTACCACCAGCACCGCCACCTTCGTCTGTTAACCGGAAACGACTTCCTTTTCGGATCGTATCCGCATCTCCAGGTCCAATCTGCAAAATGTCAACTGAGTGGTAGATCTTGAAGAACTTCTGAACACGACGAAACTGTTGAAACTCCGCGATCCAATTAGAGGGTGATTAGCTTTTTGTATTCACTTGTAGATGATTGTACGCATTCTTTGTGAACTTGATTATCCTAAATCGAACAGCGATATCCACGACGATAAAGGATACTTCCTCTGTCCTCGATTAACACGAGTATCTTCCGTGCTCATATCTAGCCCGTCATTTCTATTAGTTATGTGTTATGATTAGAGCAACATTTCGCCCGTCTGCGCCTCGAGGGAGTCTCGCAGAGAGGTTCAAGGAAGAATGGTATGGTGATAAAACAGCAAGAAAGAAGACGAGTGAAGAGAGAGAGAGAGAGAGAGAGAGAGAGAGAGAGAGAGAGAGATAGAGGCAGACAAAGAGGAGGAACGGATGGTCCGAGGCGAGGGAGTGAAACGTAAAGGAACAAGAGGACACGGAGGGGCGTGCGAGAAATGGGAAGGGGTCACGAGGAGGGCAGAGTTCTGGAGAAGGAGACAGAGAGAAAGAGAGAACGTTAGAAGCATTAGACGGGTGACCACGTGAGGTCAGAGGGAAACCGTAGAGGGGGGACGATGGTGAACGAGCCGTCTGGGCTCTACGTTCATTCATGAAACGAAGCCGGAGAGCAACGAGGAGAAGAGCGAATTGTAACTCTGGCACTCGTACAATAGCGACCACTGCCAACCCGGTTGCCAACGTCAACTTATCCACCGCAAAAATAGAGGAAGATCGGCCTATTTCGAACGAACCGGTTATGTCGCTAACGGACCACTGGTCTGGGGTAATTAACGATATTCAGAAAGGATAAGAACTGGTCCTGATTTGACCGTCTTTACCAAATTCAAATGGACACCAATGCGACTCCTCCCCTAAGGATCTGATAGAAGTACATATCGAAGTCCCTGAACAATTGCTTAAAGACTGTTTGATGTTACGGCCAAATACCAAAGAGTGATGTAAATAGTTTCTCGTTGTTTACACGACTGAAAGCAAGGAGTGTTGTAAATAGTTTCTCTTTGGTTACACGACTGATTATAATTTTCAACGGACTCCACAAGGAGAGTCATTTACCCAGTTAAATCCTGAAAGATTCCAGTACGCTCGTAGCTTATGGTTCTAAGAATATTAATTTGCAACGCGTTCGGTCTTAAGCGATACCGCTCGAGAAAGATAAAAGATCCGGTAACACAATTGTACAATGCCGAGAGCTGCCAGAAGGAATACAAGAGATCCTTGAAAATAACCAGCGCGCTGCTAGAGAAACTTTTCGTCGCGAAACAGCTCTCTTTCGAAATTGCCTGGCCCGCTTTAAAATTATATCCCGGTGCAATTACGTGTATGTCACCTGTGGGATCGTTCGGTTATATTTAACTCGATACTCGGGTCTTCCTTCCTGCTGTTCCACTGACACGATCAAAACAGTTGTCCACTGACCTTGATGGATCTGTGATCAATCGGGTAGCCCTTCCTGGTGCCAGGACTCTCCTCGTAGAAGTCCTGTTCCTCGTCCCCGTAGTCGTACAGGGATTCCATATCCATTTTGGCTGCAAAGAAACCGTGAAGTGAGCATAAAACGAATACTCTGAAAAACTTTTATATAGAATATATTCGAAAAGTTCAACACGAAGATCGGTGTGAAATTTTTAACAAAATTGAATTGTCGAGACCCCGTTGTGCATCGGGAATTAAATCGCGTGCCTTGGACAAAATCACAAGTGTCCCTCCCTTGTATGAAGCCCCGTGCTGGTACCCGCTCCTAAATAAATTCGTTCGTCCCCATACGAGAGATTATGCCGCTGCATTCGCCAGGCATTTTTGTTTGATTCGCGGTTGTAAATCCGTTATTTAGACCGGTGGCGGGGCACGTGAAAAACATAACTTTCGACTTGGACGGTTAACAGCGCGCGGTCGCGAGCCGCTTTAAAAACAGACGTTCAACGAACCACGTTTCTGAGCCCCGGGGTCTGGAGATGGTAAATCACCGCCTCCACCCCCTTCCCTTTTTATTTGCAATCTGTGGCAGTAAATTCTCGTCCACATGACGCACCTAACTACGCCGCGACCAGCCTTTCCCTCTTTTCCTTCTGGACGAAAACGCGTGAAACTTCAGGTCCTCTAAACTTTCCAAGATGGTGACCGAACATCTCGAAGCCTAAACCTACTACACTGGATATGATCGAGAAGGATCTTAGCAGTTACCGAAGATTTTCCATCGATTATACCGGATATTCTGTTTTCGTGAAACACGCAAGTGCAATTTCGTAGAAGTTTCAAGTGTAAGGGGATGCGAAAGAACCGTGGCCACATCACACAGCGTATATACACGTAGGAGGTTTTCGAACCCTGGTTTCTACCAAGATCAGGTTACTCCGGCTGGAAGCCCGAACGACAGATGGTAGGTGGAAAAGTGCTCGAGCACCGCCATCGACTCTCACGGCTCTTTAGACGCGGACGAAATCTGCCTCGGTACAAAGCGTTTCAAAATTCTGGTTTTTAACCCTCTCGTCCGTGCAAGGTGTCCGTCTTCCCTATGGGAAAGCAATAGTATAGCATATATCCCTTCAACCCACAGAACGGAAAAGGTGTTCTCGAACTAAATACAACGGACCGACGACTTTATCGAGGAAATAATAGACTCTGAGATCCAAAAGTCTACGCATCCTTTCCAACGCAGAAAATCCTTCCGTTGCGGTACGTCTTTCGTGCTAAAATACATAAAATAACATCTCCTTAATTGTTTTGTTCCTCTACCGCGAATTCGGCAAACTACCGGGAAGCATTTATCGATAAGACCGATCGGCACGGCTCCCAGAGGCTGCGATACAAAATAATCTGAAGGTCGTAAGAAGACAAGCTGATCGAAAACACGAACGGACCGAGAGATCGCAGTTCCGCTCCCCCATAGCGTTGTTTTGATCGAGACATTAACAATACATACACGATATTGCCTCTCGGTTTGCGATCGTGCAGATAACAAAATTCTTATCGTCAAGCAGATGGATATCGATTTGACTCGACAAAAGAAACACATCTGATTCGCTTATCATAAAGAGAGCTTTCGGAAAACTACACACCACAATGATTTGTCGAAATAACATAGGGTAAAATACCTCGAGGGGGAAGGAAGATACTAAGTGATACGGTTTCGCGAGACCCGGCTTTTCACCTGATAAACAAAAAAACAGACATATCTCTACACTCGTCTCATATATCTGCGATATTCACCTTCAAGGCACAACATTACCTATTATCCGATTGTCCGTTTGTGACACGAGAAATCAATTTATCGGGCGACATTAGGACACATAGCCAGACTGATTTAACTGACGTTAATTATGGATGCACCGTAAGGGAGTTCTGCGCATTTCTCATTTTCAGTGATTAACTAACTAATCGAATTGTCCTCGATTTCCTAAAAGTTCGTTCACTCTATCTGGATAAGTAATTTCACTAGATAATTAATATGTACATTGGATTTTTGATTCTCCAATCAGATACCTGTTAAAGAAGTCAACACGACCCGAACGTTATACCTTTTCGTGGGACGGTTTTCACGGATTCTATCTTTGAAATCTGTAGACCTGTCGGAAGGGAAAACGACGATAGGCTTTTAAAGTGCCCAGTCGACTTCCGCGCAAATACGAGGCTGGCAGCAGTCTCCACTCGGCCGCGTCTACCTGCATTTCCGTGCAACGAAAGCGAAAGAAAAGATCACTCGATACGGAGGGGTAAAGTCGTAACGCTCCTGGTTTGTTTCACTCCACGAGTTTTCTGACCGGCATAACGAGGACATGAGAGGCAACTAAACGCTCGACAACCATTAGACGAGTCAGCGGCCTCAACAGTTCTTTTCTGCCTATAAATCGGAAAACAAAGACGAAAAAAGGTGGAAGAAGAAACGTAACTTGTAGGAAAATACAGATAGCTTCGGTATACACAGTATAGTCGAGAACAAAGATATACACACTTGATGTTCTTACCACAGCCTGATGATTGCAAAATGAATTCCTCGAAAATATAAGATTCTACCCTGGACGTAGTCCAAAATACTACAGTTCGGAACTGACATAAAGACTTTTCAAAAACTTATTTGCAACTTAATTTCCATCGATCTAATACCGAGCCTGAAGAGGACATTTCCGATAAAATAGCTGAATTTGAATAAGGTTAACTTAAAATTTCTGTATACCGTTCTCCACGAAGTATTCTGTCCCGAAGCTGCCACGGTTTCCGATTCGTTTTTCTGAGACACCGTCTACAAACTGGCCTGTCCTTCGAGGAGTTCAAGTGTCTATTGTTTCAACTCAGTCGAGAGAGCAATATAATATCTTTCGAGGAGCTGCCGCTGTAGTTTCCAGATGCGGGCAGACGTTCCTTTGGGTCGCGGGATGCACAGACCCGTATGGAAGGCCCGGCAACCCACGATGAACCCATATGGAGAAAAATCTGGATGTGCCCTTGACTTCCGAACTCATTAAAACCGACCAGCTTCTTTCTTCCTAAACTGTAATTTCGTCAACGTCTTTCACCAACTTCTCCGATCCTTGGAAAGGGACGCTACCTGCCAGAGAGCTCGAATTTTAAACACGTAACGTTCAGATCTGTACACTTGCGATTATCGAAAGATCTTCAACTCGAACAAGAGTAAGTACATACATTGAACGATTCATCGTACATGTATCGATCGACGAATCGACCGTTAGAAAAAATCGAGCATTCATCTCGAATTGACTAACCTCTTAATGCGTTTCTCTTTCTTTTCGTATAAACAAAGTGGTTTCACCTTAACACGAATCGTCTCGTCTTTCGAAAGCGATCAACGGTTTTCTTTCCTATCTTTCTCGCGCGTCCGCACCTTCGCTTTATCTTCTGTTCTCTCTCCGTCTTTTTCTTCTCGTCCATTCTTTCTCCATCACGATGTCAGGACGTTCGTGCAGCTTTGTCATCACGGTGTGTCTTCTGGCCTTTGATATTTGTCGCGTCTTTGGCAAGAGAAGAAACAGCCAGGAAGACAAACGAGGGAAGCATGGTAGGTCGCGACGTTGCCATGCCGCGCTCCCTGAGATCCGAGAAAGTGTACAAAAACCATTCGACCCGCCAACACCGAGGGCATCGCGTTCCTTTTTTAAATTGCCAGGCTATCCATCCCATCCCCTCGTGTACGCTCAACTTATACACACACTGTCTAACGCACTGTGGCCCTCTTGCTCCCGCGCATGCATCTCCTGTCTCGTTCTTTCCCCCTTTTTCTCTCGTCTCTTCGTATGCGTTTCGAATATACGGTTCGACAGAAATATTACCTACGCGCGTTACCCGCGAAATATGTTACGCAGACACTGTATAAAAACTTAATTCAGGCCTGACAGAAACTAGACGTCAGAGTGTAAAATATATTCTAGTAAATTTTTAGAAAAGTACTTTGACCTGCAGCTATGTTCAAAGATCTATTACTGGGACTGTTAATTATCACTGCATCGAGTGAGTTGGCAACTATGGTGTCTCCTATTAGATAATTCCGCGAATAACGAATTTTGGTGAGCTTTTTATCTTTTATCTTATATTTCGACTGTCGATCTTTATACAGATATTGATTGCTGTAGATTATTTTATAAAGCAAATATATTTCTGATAAGTCTGTATTTCATAAAAGTGTATTAAAATATTCATATTATTATATTCTACACACACGCGCGCGCGCACGCACGCACGCACGCGTACACACACACACACACACACTAGAAAATGCATAAAGTTTTTGAAATATTTTTTATTATTTATTATTATTTACTACTGATGTATGCGAAAGATTGCAATGGAAACCCATTATCTAAAAATTACGCGGCACACTCGTTCATTAATCACACCGTGGACTCTTCTACTTATACAATAAGCTTCATTGTTCTTGACTATTATTGCAACAAATTCACCCATCAATCGTTATCTAAGGAAATAATTTTCACCACTTACTTGGAAGAAACGACCGTTAAAAATTCTGCGAAAGGCGTCTATGCTCAGTCGAAACGATAAAAGCGAAATGGTACGTGACGCAAGATGAGATACGATTATCACGTACCGCACGATATTTACGATCGATATGGGATCAATACGTGAGAAAGGAAACTAATCTTCGAAATGTTCTTACGAACATCGCGGATTTCAATTCGTTGCGTACAAACCTTGCTTCGAATACGGTATTCATAAATGCGGATCATCAAAAAGCAAAAAAAATCGAACCCTCTATGAGTTATATAATCCATTCTTTTCTCTAATAAGTATATATTCAATATGCACTGGAGGTATAAATCATAAATCGACAAAACGTAATATAAACTTGAAGCTCGTAAAACGTTCGGGCTGCTTACAGAGAACGCCACGACTGTTTGTATGTATTACATATTCGATGGTATTATAGGTAGTATAAAAAAAAGTTTGCGTTATTACTCAGACTTCGGAGAGGTCTATACAAAGAACAAGATCAACACAACGAAATGATACAGAATGAGAATACTTCACTGACTATGTAGCCGGTACAAACAAACAATAGAGAACCTGATCTTGTCAAACGATGTGCAACAGATGAGCCCTCTACATGCATATATCTCGAATTGAAGTATGCATTCGTCTTGTCAGCATTTCCGATTGTCCGTGGGATGCAAAGTAGCCAGTGAACACTCAGTCAAAACAAATATAGGCCTGTCCATACGTAGGCGTACGCTTTTCTCGTGACGCTTATATTCTACCCTTTCGTAAGAGGCAACCACGCGTTCGTATTCCCTTTTCCCGTTCTTTTCTTATTAATAAATCCGTATTTAAAAGTTTGGTTTGTTCGAAAGTTTTGAAGATTCCCGTTCGCGCGCTCCAACCACACAAAAAGCGCGCAGGTTAACACGTTTTGCTTACCTGTTTTTCGACGTAAAATCCAATGGGAAACACGGCAATGTCGAGCAGTCAGATAATGCACACGAAAAACACAAAAAGAGAACCGAACACAAAACAAGAATCACGTGTACGACTGTGAGGCGCACGCACATCGGCAGCACTAACGCGGTCTACCCGTACACAATACAGATTACAAATGTATTATGGCTGCAGTCCTGCTGTTCATGAATGAAACCGAGAGCGGTATCCACCTCCCCACCTCCCGCGGAAATGTCTCGTCGACCAATCGGTGATGAGCGTACGAATTTCGTGCCGTGATTCGTTCTCAAACTCCATTTTTTCCGCTGGAGCAGCACTTTGGTCGAGGATTATGAATAGATAGATGGTAAACCGACTCTCGTACTGTCTGTTTATAATGAATTAAACCCGTGCAACACTACATATCACTACATAACCAATCAGATTGTAGCATAGGGATGATCCTTGTTTTGTCATATAGTATAAGTTAGAAACCACTCTACAATCTATTACATATTTTAAGGTGGTCATTATCGACGGGTGATACCAAAACGGTGTACTAAGTAAAAAGTAAGAATAATGCTTTACTTCCAATAATTAAAAATTGTATTAGAACTTACAACAGTATTTAGGTAAAACTTCGGTACCATCATTATTGTACGTTCTTTATATTTTCATTAAAATGAACATAACCTACTTACTCGATATATAGAGTTTTATTACGTAAGAGAAGTTCAATAATTGTTTTATTAGTTATTTACTTGAAGATTTAACTCTTATAAGTGAATGGTGTACGATTCTTTTGTAAAATTAATACAATCAGTAGTGTTTATGCCATTTATCATTTGATGTCCTCCTTGTACCGGGATTAACTAAACATTATACGTTACTTTTTAAGACAAGATGCTTACCAAACGTCTAGCTACCAGTTTGCCAAAGATTTTAAAACGTAACATTGGTATTGTTGCCCCAGCATTGCAAAAGGCAAGTGATCCAATTCAACAACTGTTCATTGATAAAATCCATGAATACAAATCTAAGAGTGTGTAAGTAGATTTTCATTGTATGAAATTTATATTAATAATAATAAAATAGAATAGAAATAAACTTAGTAATGTTAAATTAACATTTAGTGGTGGAAAGATAGTTGATCCTACTCCTGAAATTGAAAAAGAAAGAAAGGCTGAACTTGAGAGACTTGCTAGACAGTACAGTGGTTCAAGTAGTACCAATATGATGGAGTTCCCAAAGATCCAATTTAAGGGTATGCAATTCTTAAAAAGACAAAATTTTTGTTTATTGTGAATTTGAAAATATGAACTTTCAGATGGAGTGGTAGAAAAGTAAGTCCGTCAAACAATCTGTATGAAGACATACATTTAGAACAACTGTATTGATCTTGTTATAATTAATTTTAAGTATTCAGTTGTAAAAATACATAAATATGTGAAATTATAAATGTAAGTATATTAAATTCCATCATCCTTAATAGAGATATTTAAATTAAAAATAATTAATGATAGAATAAATACATACAGTTCAAAGCAAATCAATTTAGGTACAGGAACACAGAATCTCTAAACTAGGCGGCATCTATCAAAAGTTTTGTGTTTTCAACTGTTTCCATTAATGTTTCCATGTTACACTTCATAGCAACAGATTTACATATCTTCACAAACTTTACTATTTCATTTTTGGGAATTAAAGTTTTGAAATCCCCAGAACAGGAACAGAGTTCGTTCATGTTTTCTCTTTTAATTTCATTACATTTACGGCATTGTAAATCTTGCAACATGTAACCCATACTTTTTCGATTTAATACATCTATCAGAAGGTATTCTATTTCTTCATTATCATAGCTCATGCTGCAAAGAGGGCATTTCCACAGATATCTGTATAAACAGAAATATGACATGTAATTTGTAGTCATGATTTATTAACTTCTTGTACAATAATGCATACCTGTCATCCTCCATTACGCAAAAATTATCTTTACAAAGATCGATATCTCTTGTATGATTGCATGCTTTACAAATAATTTCGGGTAAAATTAATGAAACGCACGGATCTTTCCATTCAACTGCATCACTGAAGCTACCAATTCTAACCAATCGTAACATATTATTTTGCAAATTATATACTTCGTTGTTAATTTCTTTGTCCAAGGATAAGACCTACAATTAAACTTGCCTGTGTACGGTTTCTTTCATGAACAAATTTAAGATAAGTAAATGTGTATTTAAGTACCTTACAAACTGACTTAATTAACTCCAAAGCAGGATTAATTTTTTTACTTTCTTTACCATTTAAATCCAAGTTTGGATACTCTTGAATAGTTAATTCTTTCTCAGGAAGTTTCTTGTATATTTTCTGTACAATACTGCAATATAGTTAGATTAAATATAAAGTGTCATTTATGTTTACTAAACCAATACAAAAAAATTCTTACTGGAAAAGTTTCTGAGACAAATCTCCAGATATCAGTTTCTTAGCGAAGTCTGCCGTATTCTCGAGTGATCCTAATCCTAACTGCGCCGATAAGCTTTGACTTAAGCTAGTAGATTTTCTTCTAGGTCTTATAGTACAACTCAGTTGTTCGTTTTCAATCATGAATTGATAAATGGCGTTTATGTAACCCGCTATTATAGCACTAAAACTCGACTGACATGCAGACTCTTTTGGTAAACATTCCATCAAATTCCATTTCATCACTATTTCGGGCTAAATAGACAGGAATATTTAGTAATATCTTACACTAATTAGACAAGCAATATATAACCTACCGAATTATCATTATCCTCATTATCCATATCATCATTGAGAATATTTGTTTCAGTGTTTTCGTCCAAATCCTTTGGTAATTTTCCTTTCACGCCAGCATGATTATGCTAATAAATTATACAATTGTATTTTTAATTATACTCAAATGTTAATTACTGTAAGATTGAAGTCAATTTTACTTACAACATCAAGCCATATTAAATATTCCCAACACTGTTCAAAAGTGATTTCAATGCTATGAAAGATTTCTTTATTACGTATCGTTTGGACAACAAATTCCATATAACCCACTGCATCGCTCACTGTTCTTTTCTTGGTGCACAGAATGATTTTATTAAAATTTGCGAAAATGATAATTGAACCTAATGTTTTAAACTCAGCCAACAATTGTATAAATAATTTTTTCATGTAACTGTGCAAAGTTCTTTGTAAAGCAGGGTCATAAAGTAAAGCATTAGATGAACGCAACCACCTAAAACAATATGAATTTATAATATGTGATTATTTAAACTTAAAGTACCATGTTGAAAGTACTAAAAGTTGAAGTCACCTATAAAAGTGAATAATTTGATAATCCGCAAATACATTTTTATAAACTGAAACGTCCAATAGCCATGCATTCACCATACTTCGCAATATTCGAAAGGCAGGACTACAAAGTGCAGTTTCATCATAGCTAGGAATTACACTTTCCGTAGAATCACCCGTTGCCAATTCCTATAAAAACATCATGCGTAATTTCGATATGTTTTATAATTGGTGTTGCATAAAAAGCTTCACATACTTGAACAGATGCCATCTGTTGATTATGAAACGCAACAAAGGAACTTGTTCCATCAATATCATGAATATGATGATATTGTAACAAAGTATTCACTGCCAAGCTTTCTATTTCCAATTCAATGCATACGCTGGAGTATGTACCAGGATTGTTTGCAGCACAATGGGAACTTTCTTCAAAGTCGGTCAATAATCTATAAATATATGCATTGAAAAAAATGCAATAGGTTCAAATTAAGTAATAATATAATTACAACCTATTGTCGTCGTTCTCACTGCCTCCTAAATCAGGTTTCTCTGTAGGAGAACACCATAACACAAAGTTATTTTTCTGCAAATGTCTAGCATAAAACAAGTCTGCAGCAAAGACTGTGGGATCTGCAGGAATGTTTCCAATAGGTACATAGAAGAATCTACACTGTTCTGTCATCAGTTCGATAATTTGTTGACTCTTGAAGTAATGACGTATCATTATCGTTGCAGCAACTTTCTGCCACTCCAGTGTACTATATAAATTTTCAATATCTTGTACATGGGTATCAATCAACGGGAAATCATTAAGTAAAGGCATTTGAGTTATCAATGCTGTTTTATCTAAAACAGAAACATGTCAAAAAGATTATTCTTTGAACAGTGATGGATGAAGTTCTATTATAGTTTACCTATAGCGGTTTGTGTAATGACTATTGTTGCACCATGTCCTTCGTTTTTATATACAGTTAAAGCTGCTTGCAAAAGTCGACAAAGTTGTTGAAAATTGGTTTCAAATCTTAGAGTAAATTGCATTGATTCCGGTAAAACGTTTACTTTGTCTTCTCCGTTCATGGATATACTACAAGTTAAACAGTCTATATTGATTCTATTTCTAACTCAAGTAAAAATGCTAGTCGCAATTTATAAGTCTTACGCCGTGCTTCGTTCCTGACTGTATAGTGCGTTCATATTACGCATTTGATTTGACGACACCGAGTCTAAGACAAATATATGACATCTCTTACTCGCATTTAGAAAAAGGCCCCAAAACGCTCTTTGATGATTAGAACTCCAATGATGGTACAAGAAAATATAATTAATTGCATGGACCTAAATAAAATACTCGTCAGTTTTCAAAATAAGATATATACAAAAATAAATGTGCATTACATTCTTCAGATACGGTTGTACAGCGATACTCTTGAATTCCAATTGATCTAAGGTAAAAGTATCTGCACCATCAGGTATCTTACGAGCTGCCTTGGGATCCACTGTGCAAACGCATCCTAATTGAAGAATAGCTCTGAACTCTAATGACATTTGCGTTTCGTAAATTCCTTCGATTTCCGGTTTACTTAAATCTTCTAACAGCTCTCTATAAATGATGTATGAAAATTACACAATTTTAGTGTAAATCTTAGAAAACAAGAACAAATGTAACTTACTGACTGTGCATTTGGAACTGTGCTTCTGGAACAGAGTACCGATACAAATTATGTATTGGTCGTGAACGAGGTAATACTTTCGAGCTTCTCGTCCAAGATACTTTTGTACCCGGTTCTGGATCAGGTTTGGGTTTTCGTGTATTTACGTAAAATATACGGGGTATTATAAGACGTAATTGGTGAAGATCTTCGTCGACAAGTACCCACAATCTGAATAAACCGGGCTCATTTGTTGGGGATATCTAAAGAATTTATTTATTTAATTATGAGGTAAATGTTTGAGGTCGAAACTAAAAGAAATGAATTAATTTTTACCTGAATAATTTGCCACGGCGAAGTGATCAATTTTTTTTGAGCTCGTCTCAGAAAACCGCCTAAAGTGGCTGTATTGGTATTCGCTCTTGTAACGCCCCAGCTAACTTCAGTTTGGTCTTCCGCAGACCTTTTAGTCTTTTTGCTCTTTTGATGTTCACCTCTTTGTTTAGCTTGATGAGCCCATTTCTGTTTATGGAACTTCAACCATTCAAGTCTTTCTTCTTTTGTCGTTCCCATTGGAGGCGGTGAACCCAAAACGTCCCTCCAACTCTTATTCTTATTCTTTTCCGCCTCCCCCTCAGATTGTCTCTTTCTTTTATTAACTACTGGTACTGGACGCTTAAACAGTTGTTCTCCACCTGCTATATCTTCAATATCTCGTGGCTCTGATGGACCTGCTTCTTCGGCATCGTCGCCCTGATCTTGATTTCTTGGTACTGCTGAAAATATATCTGTAATTTTTTTTTGCCTATGCGTTGCATTCTTCTCCATTACTCTCTTGTGCAACCAATCTGGATGTTTTACTCTAGGCACGGGATTGGAAAGCTGAAAAAAAGATACTATTCTTTTATAACTATAAATAACTCAAATAAAGTTAATGATGTACATAAAAAATATCAAGTACTCCTTGCATTGCAGCTGGAATGGTAATAATCTTCTGAATAGCACTTCCAAGTCGTTCAATGTAGTAACCCCAATCCAAAATTTGTCTTATATCGTCACTTTGTAAACCAGGATCTTTCAACCATTTGCGCAAATAGTGTCTTCTAATTGCTGGTTCCGACTGGAAGATCGCCAACGGTATTGCTCTACAATTTCATAAATAATATTAATATGAAATTATTTATTTAAACCAACAAAGATGAATTATTACCGTTCCGTAACTGGTGCACCTGGGGGCTTATTAGCAATAATGTATTTACACGCCAAACCAGCATCTTTCACCATCTGATCACCCAAAAATTCGGCCAATCTTTTAGCAGTGGAAATAGATGTAGACTTGAGTGCCCCGTAGTCCTCCAATTTACGCGACATAGATTTATTTTCAGATATGAGTTCAAACAGTTCTGTATCTGGCATATCTGCACACTGAATATATTTTTACTTTATGTTTTTCAAACTTGTTTAATAAAATCAAAGGAATTTCTATCTACCTTGCTGTAAAGAACGTCCAGCCAATAATCAGCGTCCTTGGCTACAGACGCATAGCATTCCTCCAATGTGCTCCCTTTCAGGAAGGATTCAAAAACAGATGTCTGGAAAATTTTAATTAGTTGAAGCTCACCTCTTCTCTTTACTTCAAACCCTTTCAGCTCAGCCAATGAACCGTCAAAATTAAAGACAGCGTATCGCTTCTTTAATCTCTTTCCTTCTTCCTTTGCAGCGGGCAGTACCATAGCCAAGTAAGGCCCGTCGACCTCGAAAAATATAGAATTCTCACTTCTAACTTTGTAAGTTAAATTTTCACGGTCGACGAGCTCATGGTATGCGGCGTTAGTAAATTGGTCCTGTAAATAGAATGCGTAACTATAAATTTTGGTAACGAAAAAATCAACATTATTGTAGATACGACTTACTTTCACCATAAAGTTAAGAATAGCATTGGGATAAGATATTGTAAGCCTCGATTTTTTTGGATGAGTCGTGTGAACAACTACGTTATCAGGAAAAGAAGCGGGTAAAACGCACCAAATCCCATCCGTATCCAATTCCAGTGGACGTCCAACCTGTTCTATAATTTCTCTAGCTTTCATGATAATGTGTGCTCCCGTGTAACATACTATACCACCCATTTCCATACTAAACCATCGGGAGCTGAAATAAAAACAGTGGTTAATACTTCTAATCGCAGATAAAAACATAAAAATAAATATCTACCCTTTTCTCATGACGTAACCGTAAAAGGAATTCAAAATACATTTGTGAGCGAGTTGCAATGAATCATAAAGTACTTCTCGATTTTTGGCAGACTTAATATCGCCTGCGTCACCCTTTACTAACGCTGCTGTTACCTGTTGCTTGGCAACTTTAGTAAGCGCTTTATATTCGTATCTCCTGTCTCTGAATGCTCTAACAGTGTCGACATAAAAGGAATTCTCTTTCTGACAAATCGTTTGCGTTCTCTCCTCCGTTCTTGTAATTTTCACTTTCTTATAAACTTTTCTACAATATTCTGAAAGTCTTTTTTTCTCGTACATAGCTTGTTCTTCCTTAGACAATTCATGATAGGCTCGCCGTACACCACCAGGAAACTGTGGTGGAAATTTTTCGGTTTCCAATTGTTGTTGCATTCTCTGGTATTCACTTAAACTCGCGGCCACTGAAATTAATAAAATAATTAAGAAAATGATATATTTAAGATACTATGTCTTATTACTGCATTATTATTTTTGTGCCTTTTCAACTTACAATATTCTCCTCTCCACATCCATTCCATACGTCTTTGACACAAAGCTCGTGGCTTGTTATAATCGCACGCAGCGCAAACAGTTTCATCTACCATGGCGGATGGTTGGAGACGATTAGTTAAAATAATGTTTGGATACATAGCACCGACGTCTAAGTGATAAATCACGGGGTTTTCCAATCTCAGAGGCTGACTTCTCAAAGCCTCGAGCTTTACTTTGATTTCCTGAACTACTTCATCGAAGTTCGTGACCATTTCCATTGGAACTTTTTCTTCTTCTTGTATAGTGTACTTTAAAGCATTCTCCACTCCATTTACTAGTTCGTCCACTGCACTTGGTACTATCTTAAATCGACAAGGAATATCAGCTCTGAAAACACCAGATTCAAGAGCTTCTACGTGTCCTCCTACATAGGTCTCTTGATCCAACAAATGACCATCTCTTGTAAATTTGCTTAGCTCTGCTTCTTGTTTGTTAGGAAATATAATGTTAGCTTGAAAGGCCTGTACCATCAAAAGAGATTCACATAACGTTCCAGATCCTTTCCTAAGTACCTAAAAATAAATAAATATAATATTTGTAAACAGAAATTTGTAATACATGCATTGCGCATTATGCCCAAGAACTTACTTCATCCGGTTCCATAGGAATAATAGTGCACAATGCAAATATGAAAGGGTGAACATATTTCTGATACAAATAATATGTTGCAACTGCATCAGAAACTGAATAGCTTGCAAGAGTCTTTGGCTCTTCAGCTGCTAATCTACACATATCTTCGGGATCCAGTTCCACTGGATCATATCTAAGTTTTGCTTTTGCAACAGCTTTTAGACTTTGAGAGCCTACAGGTAAGTATGAATCGCGTCTTACCCAACTGTATATTAAAAGTAGAAAATTAAGAACAGTATTCTGCATAATATTAGACGCGACAATTTCAATTATAAATTACCACAAGCAATCCATGTGCATAGATGGTCTACAACTATAAATTCCATCTCGACCTTTGGAAAATCCGATTCTGTCTTTCATTTCCATATTATGGACAGCTGCTCTAGTTTCTACAAACGGCCAATCGAAAAAGTCACCGTTATATGTTACAAATATATGTGGCCGAATGTCATTTATATGATCAAAGAATCTTTTTATTAACGCTTTTTCATTGGCCTCATTGAAAACAGTAAAGAATCCCTCAAATTCTGGTTTCGGTGTGTACTCAAAATCTTCAATATCGCTTGAAATTATTTCTCTATTCGTTATCAAGTATCCCTAAAGTCGAATATATAAAACAATAATATAATATACAACAGAATATTGTAACAAATAGCTGGTAAGATAAAAGTACTTGTCCATCAATCATGTATGATATCATCATGATTTGATCTGTATTAGCATCTGGAAATTTCAGAGGAAGCTTTGTGGTTTCAATATCATAAGCAAGGACAATTGGCTCAGGTGGTTCGATGATGTCTTCTCTCCTAGTTATGATTGGTGTTTCATTCCCTCTTGTTTTTACAGAGTACCAGTTACCACAAAAGATTTTCATGTCTATAGATACCCGTACATGATGTGGCACATCATATTCCCTGCAAAAATATACATGTAAGAATATACATAGTGTTAAGCACAAGATATAACAATATTGAATAGATACCTAATATCAAGAATATTATCTGTAAAGTCTATAATTTGCTTCTTAGGATCTCCCACTTCCTGATCTGGATTCAACACAGTTGATAGCATATCTGTATAATAAGTGTGACTCTTTGCTCTCTCTTTATTTACTTTTACAGCTTTCATAATATCACGTCTAATTTTAGTCATGTCCACAGTGTTCACAAAGGACAGTTTAAGGTACTTTTGTTTTAAACCAATTAAATGATTTGGCTACAAAAAGGTGATGATATATTATTAGTGTTTTCAACTTTTTTCATATCTTTTAATTCGTCATACCAGATCAAGATCTTCTTTGTAGACTGTGTCTACTTTATGTATTTGCCCACTGTACTTCTTGTTTAAACCATTGGAAACTTCTTCATAGGTGTCCTTTTTACATAAGATATAAAAATATGGGCAATATGGATAAGAAATCTTAAATCTGGTGCAGTCTGCTTCGAGAAAGTAGTAGTCTATTCCACTTAGCAGTCTTTTATCATCCTCTATAATCTCTGTCTGTAATGATAAGTAACATAATATAAGAAGTAGTATCATACTTTGATTCAACTTTCACTGAAGGCAACTATTACATTACAACTTACTGCATGCATATTAATAAGAAATCCTGTTCTTTCTTTTATATCAGTTACCCTATGAAATCCATATAAAGTATCTATTTTGGTGTTCTTATTAACTTCATTTAATCTTCCCCCTGATGCCTCCCTAAAAAATACAAAGAGAATAGAATATTTTATGTATAATAAAAAAAACATATAATTAAAAACAGTACCCTGATGGATTTCCTTCTTGATTCTGATCATTCTTTCTATTGAACCTATTAGCTTGATATCTTCCTGTATTCCGTAAACTTGTCATGTTGTACAAGCGTCAGTTGTATAAAATAGATTTCAAACTATTCTTTGTGAACCATTATTAAAGTATTATAATGCCATAAACGGAAAGACGAAGTTGTTATTTATAACGGCATTGCGGTATTCGAATACGATGCGTACAGCGTGTACAGGTTGTAATTTGCCCGCCAATAGATCCTTTCTTTCAGCTACTTGTACACATACAGGGTGTCACATGGTAAAAAGGCCAACACACACGTTGTTTCTGCGTTGAGAGACAATAAAATACAATGCTATACTTTATCTATTTATTTAAATATTTAATATAAAATTTAAAATATATAAACATAAACATATGTATAAATTCCAAACAATATCCGTCATATAAGATATACACGATAAATAAATATGTATGTCGGGACTTGATTGTAGTTTTGCGCGTTAATTTTGAATACTGAAGTTTGTTAATAATTTATTGATTATTTCAGATGTTCAGTATTAATGTTTAATTTATCGATCCTAAGTTTTGTAAATAATTTTATTAATAAATTTATCGTTGAGTTCAGCCATGTGTACTTTTATTTATAAATCGTTGAAATTCTAATGTACATCATACATCTCACACACACGGGGTCTCTTCAGCATGATTCGGGGGCTCCGTGACCCCAAATTCTCAGCCCACGTGATCAAAGGCGCCTCCACCGGGGCTCCGTGACCCCACGCTCTCACCGCGCAGGGTCATGGCGCCTCCAATGGGGGCTCCGCGACCCCATGGTCTCTCCCCACGCGATTAATGGCGCCTCCACCGGGGCCTCCGTGCAGGGTCTATGGCGCCTCCATCGGGGCTCCGTGACCCCACGCTCTCACCGCGCAAGGTCTATGGCGCCTCCACCGGGGGCTCCGCGACCCCACGTTCTCACTAGAGATGATGTGAACTGCTACTTGTGAATCACTCGTGATTTGATCACAAAAAACGGTTTTTTATTTCATTTAATGGCTAGCTATATCATTATTCAATTACCCCATATAATTAGCACGGCCCCATCAGAAATTTACTAGATCCGTGATCCATGAGCATAGGAAAAATCTCAAGGCTTATCGATTAGGAAAAAGGGAACGAAATTGTAGGTGGCTCCAACGACAGTGATGCGGGCCGACAACAATCGTTGTGGCTTGTTAAATAAATTAGTTTTGTGGTTTCAGTGAACGTGGCGAAATTAAATAGATGAGAAAATTAGATGCACAGGAGGCCTGGGGCGCCGATAGATTAGAAGCACAGTTAGAAGCGGCCCGGGATGGTCTTCGGGGACTTGATCGAAGTATTCGGAAAATCCTCGGCCGGGATCTTCCCGACGGAGAAAATGGTCCAGTACAACCGCCACCCAGGTTAAATTCATGATAATTCTCTATGAAATGTCCCCTGAAAACACCCAAAAGATGTGTACATTCTAAAAAACAAATTTTATTCAATAATTCATTAATCATACAATAAAACACTGTTGTCTACAAACATAACCTATCTCTTACATTCAAGACTCTTTGGATCATTTTACTGAGATCTGTGTAAATTGATGCCTTAATTTTGTAGCTGATATTGTAAGGTGTCATTAAGATAAACTGATTTTTTAATCTAAATGCCTCCATTATTATGTTGTATACAATCTCTAATGTAATTTGGTAGGCTATCGCAAAAGAGGCCATTGCAAGAAGATAGAAGGCGTGTTGTATCAGACTTTGTCAATAATGAATTATCTGGTGGAAAACGTCGATGGCAGGGATCAAATGGAGAACCAAAGACAGTTTTCAGTCGTTTAAGTGCAAGAGTTCCTTCCAATGCTGATGATAGTGCAGATGAAGATGATACTGTTATTAAGGTATAATTATATAAAATACAATAATTACTATTTTCATTTTCTAAGATATTTTCAGATGTTACTGTCTAATATTCATTTCAGCCAGCTGTGTCTTCAAGGGTAATAGCAACCCCGAGAGAAATCCCATCTAGGCAGGAAGTTATCAGAAGAGAAAGAATAGATGAAAGAAGTAGACAAAGAAATAAACGAATGTTTGGTGCTCTGTTAGGCACCCTGCAGAAATTTCGACAAGAAGAAACCAAACTTAAAGCAAAGGTACACGTTTGATAAGCATAACACACATACTCCTTGTTAACATTGCTGTAACTATTGTATTTTTTTATAGGAAGATAAAAAGGCAGAAGTGGAGGCAAGAGTGGAAGAGGCTCGAAGAAGGGAGAAGGAAGAATTACGAAGGGAAAGGCAACAGTTGTTCTTGTCGCGTAAACGACAATTAGCCGAAGTACGCGCATTGGAAGTAAAATTGGCGCGCAGTCGGCAGTTCCAGGATTGGCGTGCTGCACAATTACCACTCGCTTCGTTTATAAAAACCCGTGCTCAGCCACCTATTTATTATGCACCAAAGCGTAAACATCCACAAACTGACATTCTTCTGGCCGAATCTGCAAAGGAACTTCATGGTATGCACGTTCAGAATGAACCTGTTATTGACAATAAATTAACTGTTCTTATTACTCATTAATGTCCTTATTATATTACAGAGGAGATTGAAAGAAGAGAGAAAGCATTAGTCGAGGAGTTGGAGTTAATCGAAGTACAAGTAGGTCTTGGAAAACACCAACAAAACTTTGATGGAACGACATCGCTGAATGCGACAACGGAGGTCCAACAGTCTGCGGAAGAGGGTGAGGAGAATCGTGATCCGAATCCAGAGAAGAATTCGGAGTCAGAAAATAATGAAACGGCGGATGTCTCAGTGAAATCTGAGAAGGATGAAAACTACGATAATAATTCGAATGAGGTTGAAAAGAAGGAGGAAGTACAAGTAGATGAAGCAAAAGATGAAAATAATGGCTAGTATTAAATGTACTTACGATGCTTGTACATATTACGTACATTGGGTGGTCCAACGAAGGAAAAGATGGAGTTTTTCTTACTCGATACTTGACGCGTGTGGATAAATTTTACAATTTTTCGAAAGAATTGTCACTTTCTACTTGTTCTCATACAGATAAATTCATTCCCTTCATCAAATTGCATACTCATTTTTTCATCTTGCGTCGGCCGACGAGTCTCGTTCAAATTTTTCGTAGGTATAAGAGAATAGTAACCGTTTATCGAAATCCCATATTTTTTAAATGGTACACATTTGTATTATGGCTACTTGTAGCGTATCACTTAAGTAACACCCACATCCTGAGTAGAACGAAGTAACGCGGTGGAAGAATAAGTATGTCGATAAAGTACCATAAAACAGGTGAAAAGATTTTTAGATTGGAAAATTGTGTATAATAGTCCGTTCATTGTTTTCTTTGTAACAATGTCTGTCTTTTAATACATATACGACAAAGAGAATCGTTAAATAAGCATTTTAATGCTTTACGTGTATGGTAGAATAAAATGTATGGATTCTAACAACTGATGATATAGCATAACTTGAATTTTTATGCAAATTTGTACATTTGCGTTCTTTTAATTATAGATGATACATAATAAGGAAAACGTGTCGCATACGTATCAGATATGCAAATAATTTCTTAATATAGCAATACTAATAGTAAGTATTTGAGTTGCTCTCTGTCTTACTACATAGAGTAAAAGTCTGCATCTCTATTCTTTATAAAATGAACAACATTAAAAGGGATAAACAAAATTAATGAATGCATAGGAATAACTTCAACTGAGAACCCTTTTATGTATACATACAACTACTTCATGTGTATTTCATAAATATTTTTACCGATTTTATGTAAAACTTTACAGATTTTTTAACAATTCAGTTAATAACTCAATATGACGGATTCAGTACTTATTATCTTTTTAAGAGAATGACCATCGTTCAGACGTTTCCCTTGCATTCATAGGACAATCCTGATCACATCACCCAATTCTGTACAAATCAACATTTACAACAATATTTCCTTGTCATTTTTCCAAGCAATCATCCATGATCAATTCGTCTTTCGCGGGAATTATAACTTTAGTTGGCATGATGAAAACATTTGTAGTTCTCGATCGATAAGTACATTATCGATAGGTCTTCCGGGAATGGTTCTATCAGATAGAGAGCATACTTCACTGCGTATGCATATACAACATATGTTTATGTTATATTGCACCTCGACAATGGTCTAATTAACAACTGACGGTGAATGAATAATCTGTTACTTAATTTGGAAACTATACATGCTTGGTAAAGTAGAATTGGTAGACCTTTTTTTCACTGTTGATGTTCTCGCTGTTCTCTAAGGAACGGCAATCAGATTCGATAAAATTTGAGGCATTCTCACAGGGTATGTGTCCCATTGCATACTTGATCTAGGAACGGAAAAAGGAGGCAATGGAAGGAAGTGAGATTAAACGTGGCAATTCGTTAACCAATTTACACGTAGGACGTGGTTCCAAAGTTTCCAAGGAAGATTCGCTGGGTCTTTCTATCTTCCCGGTAATATTCGTGAACAGGAGGGGATGGCATGAAAGGGGCGTTCCGCCATGCAACCTCGGAATATGGCTAATGCGTTTCTGCGCCGTCGTCTCTATCCTCCATCCTTCTCTTACCCTAAACCGCGTTGAAATAGACACTTGGAATGGTAAATAGTAACCTTTTTACAAAAACTCTACCTAAATACAATTAAAAATTATTCACTATATCAGACAGACGTAATTCCAAACGGAATTCGAAATGATTTCTATCGAATTCAAACCGTTATATTTTCAAGGAAAAAAGCGTCACGTGACTTGAGTATTCAAATTCATTTCCCATGATAGAAAAGAAATTACATTGAACATTTTTTGCAGTTGCTAGCGTTTTAGAAAAAACAAACCGTTTAACGGACGAATGATAGATTCCCAGGAAAAGAACCTTACGTAGTAGTCAGAATGAATATACGACATTGCTCGCGTATTATGCTGGTTCGAAGTGAAAAAGGAAATAGATTAAAAAACAAAGACCGACGACGCTCAACATCGGATAGCGCGGAAGCATGAAGCGTGCGACGCAACGCGGCGCGACGCGCAGCGTCGCGGAGACATAAGAGAAGCCGACAGGGGTCGGGGGTATCCGAGCTATTTGTACACCCGAATGGAAAACGTGGCTTGACTCGCCTCCAGACGAAAGGAACGGGACGCTTTCTTAATTACCACGTTCCACCCCACTTTCGTGCTGGTCTTTTTCTTTCTGTACACTCTTCTTCTCCGAACGCTATTGTTCGGAGGTTCCGAATAGACGAACAAGTCGACGGTCCTGAATAACTGGTAGGTCCATTGAAACGACTACACTTTTGTAACGTTCTGGAAAACATGCCGAAATATCTCGTGGTACCTTCAAGTGAGTCCAAGATGGCCAGGTGAGCACCAAAATGGCCGACTGTTTTCGATTTGTTTTTCTAGTATTCATTCTTTTATCTCCTTTGTTATTGAAATTCGAGAGACTGAACGCCTTTTTATCGCCAGATTTCAGACAATAAACCTCAGTTCTGTCGCAACAAATTTGGATTCTCAGACAAGGAGGAAAGTCTTTCGCTACAGTGGACGTCTTTCGGTGGTTTTCGAGTGTAGCAAAAGTGCGTTGTCGTCAGACTGATTGCCGGTCCTCGTTCTGAGGAAATCGAGCATTCTCTCGTCGACGGTTCACGCCGGAGCTTCCAGCCGTAGGAAATCTCGGCCCATTAATCGCGCGCGCGCGCACTTCTAATACATTCTATTCTATTCTAAGCGAGCCAGATACCCGGCGTACTGTACCCTACTCTTCACCGGGTTTATTTACCCGTTAATTTATTAGCGTATGTTGGTCGTGGCGGAGCTTGTAATCGAGCGCGACGGAGTTCGCGAGGCCCGCGTGTCGCAACACTGAACGCTACCCAGTAGAAGTCACCGTATTTTAAGGGGGTTGCCGCAAACATTCAGACCGATGGGACACCTTTACATCAGGCTTGAAACTACCCATCCCGACAAAGCCCTGACGTATATTTGCCGTGTTAATTTATACAACTATTCACGGCCAATGTCCGTCCACTCCTCTGATATTAGAAGGAGAAACTATCTGGTGAAACCGACGGACTTGTATAATGAAGTACCTTTATCCTCTATAAAGTTTGGACTTTGCTTGTTCTTCCAATTTTCTAAACATATTGCATAATTTCTAGGTGGTCCTTATCACTGGAGTGGTTCGTTAGCGTTACATCTCACATCGCTGTGAACTGTGTCTTACTCTCACGGTTTTCATTCTCTTAAGAATTCACCACGTTCTTCCCTTTTTTCCCCCCGCGGTTAATAAGAGCGGCGCACCCTTAATGAGAACGAAGAAAGCCGACACTGAACGATTTCCAAAGAAGCAGCTCCTGCGGGCAGGTTTGGTCGCTCCTTTGACTAGCGTAATAGAGTATCGGGGGCGGGGTATCTCACCGCAGAAGTAGAAAGGGGATATTCGTATTTCAAAGGGACAGACCGTCACGCCGCGACGGTCCTCGTTAATGTTATGCGCGCCTAAACGTCAAGTAGAAAAACACGATCGCGCCTATATGTCGAAAGCTAGACCGACAGCCGAAGGACTTTTACACGGAAACGGATCGTGAACGTCATCCGTACGACCGTTCCCCCTTGAGATTGTCTCGTCACCTCGCAGGATGTGGTATCATGCCTTGATGTAACTGAAACTGAATGGAACTTTAAGAAGAATATAGACGTAGTGGAAGTACGCCACATTTGTAAATTTGATGCACCTTTGTTAAAGAACACAAACAAAGATTGCGGTTCATTCACTTTGAAATTACACTGTATTTTGTTTTTTGAATAGGCTCAAATGTATGGTCGAGAACTCGGATACTTCTGAAAGTACCTTATTTATGGTATCCAGGAGTTTATAAGATGGATACTTCGGAACTTTATATGTATTACCTTCCATTGGAAAAACTATCATTGGTTATTGTGGCCGAGGCCGGTGACGACGGGAACGCTGAGTGGGTGTCTAATTTCGTCGAAGAGGAGGGATTTCACGCTCGATCGACGCTGATTGGACAGCGCCAAGCGGTTTGCCTTTATAACTTGGATTGCGCGCGCGCACATCGACCCACACAAAGGGCGACTCCATGCGAACTGTAGTTGTTTGTCTTCTTATTGAATAACAACGCGTTGAATGGTCTGATATCGTCGACATTTCAATCGCGTGTATCGAATCATTTTACAGTTGATACATAAAGGATCGATTCGATTAATCTTTAACTGATAACGATCAACTCCCCGTAGGCGTGGAATCAGGGCAAACTATACTTTCTTTTTAAGTCATTTATAAACATTATAATATATCGAATTCTGAGATCGTTGTTAAAATTGTTCGTGTCAATCTGCTTAATCTATCCTTAGCTATAAAACAGGTAATTCAACCTATCGGTCTAGTGTCAACAGCGTTGTTTTCCGGTGGAGCATTGTTTCTCTGGAAAAACAAGAGAGGAAACGATTAATTCAGTCGTAAGCTTGCATACATTGGGAACGATATCGCAGCTCATTAAACATTGCGAGCGCACTATCATCGATTATACAGAAATGGCTTTGATTATTCGGAATGAAAGCATCAATCACGCAGCTTACTACAATATCGGCAGTTACGCGCGTATATTACAAGACGGCGTCCACGCAAAAGAACTAAACACTGAGAGCAAACACGATTTACAACTATGTACCGCGCATCTTCTAACGTGAAGAATCGTTCAAAGTGTAACGCTTTTGAAGGCCAAAAACTTACTCGATACATCGATCAAAATGATCCGAAGACCTGTTGAAGTCCTCCGGAAGTGGAACATGTCCTTTCGGGACCCGCAGCTGGCTTCATTAACGATCCAAGGATGCACCGATACCGAAACGTTAATTAACAAGATACTGCCTATATCCGGAAGTCCGTAACTATTTTTTCTCCAAAAATACAAAATCCGAAAGCTTCAAAGGAAATAAAAAATATAGATTGCCTTGAAGGGAAACAAAATGTTACCCTGAGTTACACGAACTATGTCTACGAACATCGCCTATGAGGATTTCTAACATTCTTTTACATGCTTTAACAACTATTACATCGAGCGTTTCGCAACCACTAATCAAAATGAATACGTACCTTGTGTTTCGATCGATTGTCGACTCGATTGCGCGAGCACGGACAACTAAATCTCGAAGGCCTCGTCGGACGGGGACTTCTTCTTCTTTCTCTGGAATGAACTTTTCTCTCTACCGAATCGCGTCCACGGAAGTCGTGGTAATTGAACAGATCGCCGCGGAAAGATTAACATTCAGCTGCAACTAAGTGATCGCTGGTCTTCGAGGCTGGAACATTTTATGCTACCCTTTATTTTCCACTAATAGAACAATGGCACGTTCGGTCTCAGGCCATTTGGACTGTCTCTGAGGAAAGAACCATGGTCCAAGATATCGCTCGACCCTGCCAAGAAGAGAAGCCGGAATCGCGGGGAATCTAAAGCACCGTTGTATTCTCGAACCGTTCAGGATGCCAAGTGAGCCGTGAGCTAGGAAGCAGATTAATGTTACACGCGGAAAAATTTCGGTTTAATTATACCGACAGTATGGCGCAAGGGAGGGAGAGAGAGAGAGTTCAGGATGCATCGTTACCATCTAATTCTTCCAACGTTTCAATGTAATTTGCATCATTAATTGTACACCTACACGCTTGACTCGAGCTTGATAGACTCACCTGACTTAACTGTTTCAGGTCCTGATACCCGGCTTCGCAATGTGCATTGGAAGAGTAAAAGGGGATAATCTCGCCTGATTAACTTGAAGGAAACTATATATTTCCCAGTGAGAAAAGTTACATTCCTTATAAAAAGCATGGCAAAAGACTACAGTTACGCAATCGTGAAACGATCGTACTCGTCCATTATTTAAATAACGTCGATATAGAGTTCCTTTACGGTTATTCACGTCGATCACCGTCTTTCTCGAGGAACAGCACAACGTACACAACCTTAACAATTATCTCCCGGTTAAACCCATTCAAGTATCGAAGAAACGTACAATAATAATCGGCGTAGGGCTAAACTGTGAACGGTATATAAAATTTCTTCAAAAGTTACAACAATCTCTCCGTACCACTGTGGACTCGTGGTTTCTCACTCTTATATATAGTAAATTAAAATATAACTTAGAGTAGTTTCTTTATGGCACTCGGAAAAAGGCACTCTTGGCATACAATCTATGCGACAAACGACAATAGAAATATATAATACTGGTGGTGATATACCGTTCGTCTTCAAATTTACGTGATCTCACCGGTTACAACCGCGATAATCATCGTCGACGGTCACAGTTAATGTTCCAGCGTTATAAAAGCAGTCTATAAAATGGACATTTCGGTTCATCGTTTCACTAGCACAATTGCTTGTAACACTCACAGTGCTTGAAAAACCGTTTTTCTCGCACAAGATCCATATACAATACGTTCTGCCAACAATTTTACATCCCTATTTGGTGTGTCTCTGAGCCTTACTTCGTAATCGAAACGTTTCAGTTGCATGGACTGGCGGGTTGACTGTTCACCACGGAGGACTGCATCATGATCGATTGAACAGTGAGAACCGACGGGGCAGTCACCACGGGCGTCATGGTGTCCGCGTGATGATGGTGATGGTGGTGATGGTAGAGCGCGGATGCGTAATACTGCTGATGATGATGGTGATGGTGATGCGGATGAGGATGATGGTATCCCTCCTCGCTGTTGTTGTTGTCGTTACCAGCGGCGTTCTCGTTGCTCTGGTGATTATGATGATGATGATGGCCGTGGTGATGGTGATTGTTGTTGATTGTCGCGCAGATCGGCGACGTCGGCGACGAGGACGACGGCGAGCTGGTCAGATTGCAGCCAGTGGCGAGGATGTCGTGAACGGTGTGGGGGCTGGGCCACTGAAGACTGCCGGCGGTCGTCGTCTGGTGAGCAGCATGGATCGAGGGCGGTGACGTGGCGGGCGACAGCTTGTTCGGTGTCGTCGGTCCAGCTGGAAACGCACCGGTACCGGTATTGGTAGGAACGGGTTGTTTCGAATTCGTAAATCAGGGTGCTCGTATCACGATGGCAGAAAGATTCGCGACTGTTGCCTGATATCCCGCGAGCTCGCTGCTAAAACTGAACGCACGCACACAGTTCAAGTTTCGACGCCGTAGAACAGAGTCCCGTGAAAGCGTGGACTTTTTTTTTCCCGTACAATTTGTGTATAGCAAAACTAGCGGATACGGCACCTGATTGTTCTTCCATCCGATGAATCAGAGTTGGGCATTATACGAGTACGTTACAGTTGGATGAAGACAACACTGCCGCTACTTCCATTGTAACTTGTATATTCTTCCTCCAAACACGAACGTTTCAGATCTTTAAACATAGTGCCCAGCTCTGGTTACGCGAGGTGCCCGTAGATGTGTTGGCGTTCTGAACGAGAAATTTGCGTAGACGTTACATAGGTATTGTATTACACTTACAAATCGAGCCTCGAGTCTCGACAGAACTCTTCGCGTCGTCACCAGCGGTCCAGTGCAATCTCTCGCGTAAAGTTCTCGTCCAGAATCGACGCCAAGGGAAGAGTGCAGTTCGAGCTACCAACCTTGATGGTGATGATGGTGATGGTGATGCGTTACAGGCGGCGGCGTCGCGTGATAAGGCGTCGGCGGATAAGGGACAGGGCAAAGCGCGGCACCCGCGGCAGCTGCGGCCGCGTACAAATGATGATGATGGTGGTGATGCGCCGGATGATGGGGATGATGGTGTAACGCGGTCGCGACGCCGACCTTGTTCCTCAGTATCCTGGAGATGCTGCTCACCGAAGGCACGTTGTACTTGTCGCAGACCCCGTCGGACAGCAGTCTGTCCCTGATCTCCCAGGCGAAGATCCCTGGGTCCTTGAGCTTCAGCTGTTTGATGTACTGGACCACTTTGGGGGTGGTAACCCGGGGCTTGCTGCCGCCGATCGCGCCCGGCAGTATGCTGCCTGTCTCGTGGTAACGGGCCAAGATCTTGCTGACACAACCATGACTGACCCGCAGCTGCCGCGAGATGTCGCACGGCCTGATGCCCAGCTGTGCAAGCTCTACTATTCGCAACCTGACCGCGTTGGGCAGGGGCCGACCGTTCACGAATACACCACCCAATTGATTCACTTCGCCGTACTGCTGTTGTTGCTGATGCTGAGATTGTTGTTGTTGCTGCTGCTGTTGCTGGTGATCGCCACCCAAGTCGGACGCGTTGCTCTCTGATAGGCAAGAAAGGAAACAGAACAACAGTTGAATGTATGAATATTGGGGAGCGGCACGGCGTTTTTGATTGAGCAGCCTAGTTGGTCCAGGCTTTTTATGATAGCCAACGCGTGGATTACGAGGGTGGACCTCCTCGGTCGGTCCGTAAAGCCCTCCCGATAAATCTGAATTTTATTTTCTCTTTCTTGCCGCCGTCACGCGGCACCCAATGTCGACGTCATGAGAAAGCATTGTACGATTTTGATTAAGAAAACCAACGGAATGGTCGGTCGGAATGCAAAGGGGCCGCCGCGGCCATCTAACATGAATCCGGCGACGGGACGCCGAAATAACGCGACGATAATATACATCGCATCGAGACTTACACCTGGCGCCCGGGGTTCGTTTTAATGAGATGCAGATGTACACGGTTGCGCGGGCACCGGCGTGTCTGTGCCCCCTGTTAATCCGAACTGCCCTGTAACCAGCCCTTAATTAGCGAAACGATGCCCCGGCAATTGCCCCCTCAACTGCATTCCAAAACCCACTCAAAATTCCGTTTGCGAGTTACCAAACACAACAACCAACCATTACGAGCATAACAGGAGCTGGCTATCTTTAACCCCGGAGGCAAGCGGAACGAGTCAGTTTTGACTTTCCCTGAAGCTCGGAACCAGAGGGATCCACCTACGCGGTCTACCTTTCAAATTATCCTCGAGACAAATTGTCGAGGCAATTTGGGCGTTTCTTCCGGGTTCGGTGATGCGGGTGCCACTTAAAATAAGGAGTTATGGTAACACGATGTTCGGATATTTGTGATTGACTCGAAAGATATGTGAGTGTCTACAGAAACTTATTTTGTTTTTAGGAGAACGGTGAAGTAACTTAATACATTTGCAGCTCCTATGAAGAATCCTGTATATTTTTCTCAAGATAAGATTAATCTGAGACGAGTCTGAGTGCCTAGAGTCGAAATAGAGAGGTGAATGGTACCTCGTGGAGAGGACGCGCGAAGTCGTCGCGGCGGACTCCTTCCTGTCCGCGAAAGGGACCTGCTCCCGTTGCGGCGAGGAAATTTATGCGATACCCCTCCTCGTTCTCCCGTTCTGTTTCTCTTTCTACGCACCGAGGCAAGTCGGTGGAGGTATGTACTACGGAGAAGAGCCAGCAAATAAGAAAACCGCAGCGGAAAGGAGGGCCCTACGGTGCCTCCGTGATTCCTGGAACAAGAGTTTCGCCGGCGACGTTGCTGCCGTTGCCGGCCGTAGAGACGCGTTTTTGCACGCACCCATCGACCGCCATTTTTTTTCTCCACCTCTCTCCCCCCTGCATCCCCTCGATTCGCCTCGTGATGGTGAGTCCCTTTGCGGAGGCGCGAAACACGCGCCCTTTACGCTACATCTACAGTCTCGACGTTATTGATGCTTTTCAAACGGAGGACGCAGCCTTTGAATTACTGCTCGAAATAAGCGGAGAAGCTAAAGTGTCTTTATTGCCGTGAAATGGAACCTTAAACTCTTCTATACGATGTGGAATATACGTTTCAGATGATACTGCAAATGGAGAAACAATCGATGACAAGATAACGCCGCCCAACGAGACGAATCGTTCCAGTAAATTTCATCCGATGGTTCGATCGACAAATGGCGGCGGATTTTCCGGGAATCACCCTGCTACCAGAGAGCGGGATACTCGTGGAGATCGGCCGATTCGCGGAACGACCCCGATGTGGCCCGTTAAACTCCAACGATTTGGACTTAATGACCCGCGTTACATTAAAGGCCCCGTCTTTTTGCCCCGACGAGCGTATTCGATCGCGAGGGAGTAACGCTCGTTAAACCAGAGACAAGCCTTGCGGTTTATACGCTTCCCTCTGGTCGGCTCGCTTATAAGGTAGGAGTAATTAACGAGGGGATAAACCGTTCGTTTGATAGATTTATAAATACAGACGAATTTCGCGGCGTTCCAAGGAGCACCGATCTGTCTGTCAACGCCTCGGGGGATCGTGAACTCTTGCGGTGCCACGGACGAGCGAAGATTAATTGGAAAATTAATTGAAGAAGTAATACCAATATTCGGCGTAAGATTTCGTGTATACTTTAGGATCTGTCTCGTAATATATTTTCAGTCGATGTTTCCCTTGCCCCACGAAGAAGTCTTTAGACCTCAGGACCTTTAACTACTGGTAATTCAATATGGGTCAGTAATAAATTTCTGTGGGCACCATGGAGCCGACCCAACTCTCTCGGATTAGGCGGCAGAAAATATTAAGGTTGTTGTGTGAAAATACGTGTGCGGTGAGTTAAATCTTTCAGCAGCCAATCCTTATGAACACGAAAATATTCCGCTAAAAACCGGGCGATGTTTATCGAATTTATACGGTAAACAGTTAATTTGTAGACAACGACGAATCATCAAACGGATTACATCCCGAGGACGTATTAGCGAAGAGCAAAAGAATACGGAAAGATGTGTCCCCAACGGACAGACGGATCCTCCGGTTGCGACGCATGTGTGGAGACAGGAGACACGCACAAACACGCGTGCGCGTTGCGCTCTCCTCGCTGTAAATACGTGTAATACATGCGTGTAAAATGACTACATGCGTCGGGGCCTTTGATCTCGGCCATTCATCACCGCACGCCCCCGAGAAAAAGTCTAATAATATTGCGTGCACCGTCGCGACGTTCACGCGTGTGCGTGCGTGAAATGGCCGGATCGGCTGGGTTCCACGCGACGATCCGCAGATGTATGCGTCCACTCGATCTTTTACCCAAGGAAAGATTTATTCCCTCCTCGATCCGCGGGATCCCGTCGGGGAAACTCGGGATTCGTGGTCCCCGGGACGGTGAAAACAGCGAAGAGGAGGGGAGGGTTCGCTTTCCAAGCGAAAATTAACAGCGGGGCTTATTGTGCGACGTTCATCGCGGCGAATCCGTCACGAACCGTGAATTATACCCGCGAAATAGTGGGAGGCGGCGTCGTAGCTCGCGATCGAGATTGATAGCGGTAATTTCGTCGTGACGGTAATTGATAACGTCCAGCCGTAATGTTACCAGACGTTTTAGTGTACTTTATGACAGGGGGGTCTTTCACGATGAAGTCGGCTGTGTACAATTCTCTTTGAGAAGGTGGACCACGCGGAGAACGCACAAAATTGAATGTATATCTCCGTGAAAGAAATAGAAACGGTTCCCTGTTTCTTTTCGTGCAACACTGTTGGACACTTTACTTGTCGATCATTGTATGTATTCCAGGAAGCGATGTTTCAATTAAGTCGAGCAAATTATCTGATTCCAGGATCCCTGAAAGCAATCGGAGGAATTAGGCGCGCGCGATCGGCTAATTTTGTGACTGGAAATTTGCGAAAACGATACCACGGGGCGGAACAAATTGTCGCGGACAAAAGGACGAGCAAAGAGGGTCCTCCCGGTTATAAGTAGAAAAGTGAACGCGGCTGTGGCATGGTCCGAGATGTGGGCGTGCACGGGAAGGAGTGATGGATGTCAGTGTCACCCTCGAAAACACGTGTTTCACTTACGTAGATGCCCCGAACGCGACCAGTGTTTGTCTACCATTCTCACTCGCTAATTATCGGCCCCCGGTTGACGTTCCCCCTTTGTCGGCCTCTTCGCTTTTATAGAAACGGATCTTTAATTTAATTTCCGCGGTGTATACCGGGGAGACGCGCGTGCACATGTCGGTGATTAGTTCGCCGGGAACGGCGTGTCAGAAATTAAGGATTCTTAATTCTCGAGTGTGAACTGGAGAGGAAACATGACTGTTTCGAAGAACAACCGAGCTTTCACGATTAATGGTCGCGTTAAGCAAATCGCTGGAAATTCTATATTAATAATTGAACGTTGAAGAATGTCTACTATAGATTCATATCACATGCAACCACGGCTTCAAAATAGTCCTGTCAGGCTTCATTATTATGTCCAGAAACCTCATAAACTGAGCCCCAGCCAAAGAGTGTTACCTCCCGCTAAAAAAGAATTCTTGGCAACTCAACGCGATTTTTGTATCTTTGCGTCTAAAATCGATTTTAGTCGAATGTTTCCGTCCATTGTGTTATCCCGTTCAGTTTCGTTAACTCTGTCAATGTACGCGACCGTCTACGTAAATTCATGTCCGATATTTTTGCCAGCGGATGGGAGAAGTTTCTTTGATTCCCGATATCGTGGAAAGAATAGACGTCAGACTTTTTCCCTAGATTACCGACCAGTCTATATATAGCCGCGAAATTTATGCAAGTTGACGCAAGAGGAAATTAATTATGCGCTAATCGCGGTACATTTTTACACGATAACCGCTTGACCTCGTCGAACATAGTTTCATCATAGCTTCACCAATTTCCAGACGCGTCTGTGAGAGACTCGGTTACGATCATTCTCTATTGTGCTCTGTGCCTCTTCTTTTTCTCTTTTTTTTCCGGTCCAAAAAGATCTACTAGCAAGACGAGCATATTTTCTACGAACCCTAGTACAAAATACATATAGAATACTATGTGTACAAACAAAGCCCCGAATATTAGCCATTAGTTCTCCACCATACGAGTGTAAACGGGCGTTCTAGGGTAGTATCGCGTGCAACTGCCTATAGTACTTTTATTTAAGTCGTTTCAAGTGTATATCTGTTGCACAATATCTTTAGTTTCCAAAAGGATGATCCGTAAATTTCGTGCACCACGAAAGTCGAAGTGGATCCCCCATCCCGTTTGCATTTCGACGTTCATTTGTATTTTCATCTCGACCTTTCACCAACTTTTCCTCTAAATTCTTCCTCCTGTTTTTCTTCCCCTGTAGCCGTACCTTTCTTCGTGCACCTAAAATACATCCGTGCGAAATTTATCTCGCACGTGCGTGCGTGCGTGCACGGGACCGCGCGTTCGTGCGCGAGCCGCCTCTCTAACATCTGGAATACGCGATGACAGTGGGACCGAAATATATCCGATCGACGAACAAAAAACGTGCACCGGCGAAACTGTAACTCCTCGTTTTTACTTGTTCGATCAGCCGAACGTGTCTCCGCTTTCGGCGAAACGGAGGGAAAATCAAAAGCAGAAGTCCCAAGTGAATGAAAATAGCGAGAACAGAATTCTATCTTGCGGCTCGTCCCGGAGTCCAAAACTTCCGGTTCGGAGGATGGTTTCGGATGAGACAATCTTTCCTGTCGCTTTTCATCGAAAACTGAAGGCTTTGACGATACGAAACACTACCATCTTCGATTGCACGAAGGTAATTTACGCCGTGTTCACAGATTACTGTTAATATCACTCAATTTTTTAGAAATTCACGGACAATTTCCTACGTCACGGAATACCAAACATTCTGAATACGAGGAGATGAAGACGAACAATGGAAATATTAAATAAATGACTGAACAATCGACCAATGGAGGTTCATTTATGAGCGACAAGCAAACAGAAGTTGAAGTTGCAGGTGTCTAGGACGCATCTACCGAATAAAGTAACTGGCGCTTCTGCCTCGATTTGCAGTGATCGCTGTCAAGTTTTCTGTCTCCATTGATTACGCTAAACGAGTTGAATACCTGCGAAAGTCATTCCGCCAGTAACCAGCTCCGTGTGATCAACGCATACACGGTTTATATTGTTGCTAATATCTCGCGGTACGAATACTGTACAGACTCCGAGTTTTTGGACCGAGCTATTAGAAGGTTTCCCGATGGCGGTCGGCCAAATTTCTCAAGTCACGGGACAGGTATGCAGAACTCTTTACGTCCAAATCGTGCAAGTAATAACTTGTCAACGATACATCTTGTAATCGTTTCACCGTAGGATCGTTGCCTGTAGACGAAATAGCCCATGCGATACGTTCCACCCTGTCGCGTTTTCGAAATCATCCCTAACATCACGCCAAAAGACACACACACACACACACATGAGTTCGAACTAGTTATGGACGATACGAATCGAATATCGAAATTTTTATACAATCGCTGCATTTACCGTAATGTAACAGGTAGTAAGGAAAATTGACCAATCGCGTATTATTTTCATTTTTGGATTTTATTACTTCTAACTTAATTGCAAGTATCGCTACTCTGAGTAGGATAGCAATATGTACATATGTATCGATACAAAATCTCGATGCAATTCAAATGTAATGCCATCGCTAGTTCGAACTGTTTAACGGAGGTTCGTTTCTCGCTACTTTGCGACGCGAATAATTGAATCTCGCGTCATGAGGCTGGTGGATCACGCGACTCGTAAGATGGCAACCGGTATCAAGCTTTACCAGCGTGTAATGGAACGTTGTATAACACTCCAAATGAACGGATCAAGGCGCATCGAGGTGTTGCTTAACGTCACGATAAAGACAAAGATACGGTGGTCTCTTACGTTTTCTGCATGATTTCTGCTTGGTCATCGAATGGTTTCGTATCCTTGACGATACTGTCTCTTTACCGGAATTAACCACTTCGATCGTGATTCAGACCTCAAAATGTCTGAGATGACGCTGACTATTATATTTTTTTTCAGGGAATCGAATTCTTAAAGTTCAAGAAGCAAATTCTAGAAGAAAAGTTGTAATGTATTTGTGGCAATACCGAAGTCCCCATTTACCATAAAAATCGAAGGAATCGGGGACAGACTTTGAGAAACTTTCGGAAGTGTTTGCAAAAACCTCCCGGAATTGGTAATTAGCAGCCTTTGAATTTATTTAACGAAAAGTCAGAGCTACCGCCACAAACGCAGAAAGCTCTTCGAAGGATTAATATTGGAAGAACAACAAAATTAAAGACAACGAATTGTCGCGGACGCTTTTAAGAGTTCTAGGAGGCTGCTCGAAACATTCTGAAGAGGAACCGCGGGGCAAACGGTTCCCGTGGGTAGCCCGGGAGGACTCCAGAAGCTAATACAATTATTTGCGCAGTCCTTTGTCAACCGGACCCTTTAAAAGGTGGCTTCCTTATTTAACTGGAACAAACGTTACTAATTGAACGCTAATGAATCTATAACTGCACATTTCCCGGCAGTGTCAACAATCCACGAACTCATCTGCCGCAGAATTCGAAGAATATCATTGTACCTATCGTGTAGAACGGACTTTCAATCTTGGATCCGAGTGTTATAAACCCAGGACACACTGTGATATCGTTTTACCATTTATGAGAGCATTCTGAACGACCATTTTACGTTACGATAGTTCGATCCTTCACAATTAACCACGGAGGAGTTCCAATCGTTGCAAAATATAACATAGAAACATTCCAGTTAATCGGTTCGTTACAATGTGTCGTGACAAATTTTTATTGTCGGCGGTATCTCCCGCTCGGAACAGTAAGTACTTATGTACGTTCCGAAGGGTTTATCTTCGGGGTATAACGTTTCCGATATATCGCGTTCACGTATCAAGGTCTTGAACCGTACACGCTATTACGGCTGTATTGGTGTCAATGACTCCGAGGGGATTGTCAACGTCATTGGAGGAATAAAAAAGGAGCACAGATACCCCGATAAACGGCGGAACGTTTCAAACCGCGAACGTTATTTCTACGCGTGGTCGTTCCGTAAAAAAAAAGAACATACGACGAATCGGTTCCCGTCGCTTCCGAACAGTTTATTCCTGCGTGCAAAGTTCGATCGTTTCTAGTTTTACGTCAACGATAAACGGGTGGTTCACCAATATTCGACAAGTTTATCTTCTGTCGCGGGTTCAAGGCCCGGTTCTTTTCTTTTTCCTCATCGATTTCGAACGACACGATTTCAAGCAATTTGCCGCCGACGCGTGTCCATTATCCAATTAAGCGTGGTAAAATCATCGAGATCGCCGCAGGGGTGACGTCGGATCTGGGTCATCGGCAGCGTTTCACGCGTCACAACAAACGTGGCACATCTTGGTGATTTATGATCGCGTTACCAAAATGTAGGTCATGATACCGACTCGCCTCACAGTGTATTACTGATTGGTCAAGTCGGGCTTCGCGTACCGATACTTTTCCATCAAGAGTATTCGACACCGTAGGAAACAAAAATTTCTTTCAGTCCTCCATCACACTTTAAGACCTCCTAACAGGAGATTCAACAGGCTACACATAATTAGTTATTCTTAATTCTTCAGGTTTTCGAATGGAACTAACAGAACCCAGCAAGTCAAGCCCAGTGATAACGGAACACAATGAAATCGAGAAAGATCTAGGAGGCATTCGTATGGACACTAAATATGTGAATTTAATCGGTCGACAACAGTCTCGTCAACTTCATCCAATATCAGTGAAAGGTAAATATTCCATAATGATGTGTTCGGAAGTCTCCAAACTTTCAGGAAGGGTATAAATACGTTCTTGGCTGGACCGCGACCAGTTTCCGGTGACATAGATCACGAGAACGAGCGCACTCATCGGGAACCACAGCTATGAAACTAGTCTCGTTAGACCGGTCAGTTCCGATATTCGTGCGACAAGAGAGACCAGCTGACAATATTATTATTAAACACCGATTATTTAGCTCCATGTAGACAGCCTCGACGAGGCTCGTATCGTAGCACAGTCTTGTCGAGAGTTTTAGAACAAAAAAAACGATGTATACATAGTAGGCCGATAAGGACCGAGAGGGCATCCGGACCCAGCAAGGCCAAAGGTTGCCGGAGAAATGAGTACAATATGCTTTCTATGAATGGGAATCGCGTCCTCTTACGCGCGTAGGTATAACTTAAACGTTTGGTGAATCTCTGTTTTCGCAAACTTGCTTCTATTCCGCAGATTGTGTATATTTAAGTAGCGACACAAGAACCAACATTATTTATGAAATATTTACAGGAGTAAATCGAAACAGTGTACGGTTAAGATGCTTCAATTGAACGATGGACTGAATGTTTATTACCTATGGCAATCTTCGATCAAGAACAAGAAACACCACGAAAATGAGCGTCGTCTTCCTTTCTCGTCGATCGCGTTCCATGTCAGTCGATAATTGTATCCAATCTATTTCATTATCGTTGCTGCGAAATTAATAAGTGCGACCGGCCGACGGCGCCGCGAGATACATCCAAGCGCCACATCTCATTTAATTATAAATTCAATTAGGTCAAAGTTGATTGACACGCACACCGCAAGACGAATTAATCGTTTATCGTGAAGGACGCTTGGAAAAAGTAAAAGAGGAAAAGAAGAGTGGATGCTTGAAGAAGAATCAACCGAGAAAAGAAACGGACGTAGTTCGCATGGTTTTATGTTTTTACGTGATGCTGCCAAAGATTGTCGTTCAGTTCTGAGTTTTAAGTCTTTTATCGTTATACGTCGTTCAAAATAACTCGAAGAACCAATTAATCGACATGTCAATCGCTGTTGACACTATATATATTCCTGGTGACAGCATTATTCTACAATCACGAGGTACTCCACTTATTTTGAGCGCGGTGAACTGTCTTTTATTCAACTGTTTTAACAATTCCAAAACGAAAACGGTCCCAAGAATCCCTGCCAGCGGCTTCACAGCTGCGTTATGTAATACCGCAAGCATAGTCTTAGAATGGTATTCACATCTTGTGTAAATTTCAGGATGGATTGCTCACCTAGCACTATGGGATCCATCGGGAAGAGCAAGCTTGCAGCCGACGGCTACATGCAACGCGGTTCCTCCGTGATTCCGGGAATCGTGAACAATTTGAATGACTTCTTTCCTTGGACCGCTGAACTTCAGACTCAACCGAAATGTATCGAAAACTGGTATCGTTAGTACGCCTCGGTGTGTCCTGTGCACCCTTATCACCTGTCACCACCGTGTTCCCCCGCGTACTGGCATGTCCTGACTTCGCATTTTTCGACAGGAACCGTTCGACATCTCTGTCGGTTCACCGTTCAGCAAAACCACCGCCGATCATCAAGACAATTCCGAAGAACGATCGCGAGTCACTTCACTGATGGAACACGGAAGAAATTGTTGCAACCACCAAACCGAGATTCTTTATCCACACGGAACCGAACTGTTCGTGAGGTAACTGGAGCGTTACCAAAAGGATATTCGAAATGAAGGATGATATGTATAACGTGATCCACGTGATCGACGTTCATTCACGCGTGTCGAGCAGAGCCACTCGAGGGAAAAACGCGACACAATGTGGCGGGACAGTAAATAACCGGTGCAAACGGGGTGCAGTACCGTGTCCGTGTACAACGTGTTTCGCGCTTCTGTTAAGCAGCAGCAGAAAGAGCGAGATAGCGAGAGGTGTGTGGCGTGTATGAGCAAGAGAGAAAGAGGAAAGGAAAACAGGCAAATGCCGGGGTCCTCGAGTGGCGTGTTCTAGAGGAGACGAAAAAAGAAGCACGGACACGGTCAATGGTGCGCGGCTCGCCCTTCGCTGCCTCACTGACTGGGGCGACAGATTTACCAGAGCAGAAATAAGAAATCTCTCCGGCTAGCGTGGCCTTAGAACGCGGCCCCCGCCCGCTCCCTGTGGTAGTCGTTCCTTTCCTCATCCGTGAGCCACACGCACGTCAGAAGAGAACCTATCTAGCGGATGGTTAAGTGTATGTGTGTGTGTGAGCGTGAAAGAGAACGCACCCACCTACTTGCTGTGATATGCGTGGTCGTGCGTGGATGGTAGAGCAAGAGCGAACGAGAGGGGAATGGTGATCATTCAAAGCAGAGCAAGAGGGAAGGAAAGAGTTGTTCCACTGTAAGGGGTATAGGTCGAATGAAGAGAGACGATAAGACACAGAGAGAAATACGTACGACGATGGGAGTGAGAGGGGAATGGGTAGCGTTCGTTTTGAGAGGGCTGCAAGTGGTTGAACGACCAATCCGTGGCTGCTCACATGGACACCACCACGCGCTCACTTCTGCGCGTTTCTAGCGTTAAAACCTCCGTTCTCAGTCACTATGGGTGCTGTGAGATCGTGTGCGTGGGTGTACACATTGGTGCGCACGCTCGACCAAGCGGAGCTGACAATCAGGATAGGCACGAGGAGGAAAGCTGGCCACGCTTAAGAGGCGGAGTCACGTTCGCACGGACCATTGGCGAGAGCACTGCACCGTGAGCGACCGTAGTTTACGCCTCTTCATTGCGCCCTCGTGTCTTGTGTTCATTGTCTTATTCTACTTCACTCAGAGTGCATACTCTTTCTGGCATATTACATACTCGATACTATCTGCTTGCTCGGATTTATGTATAGAAATAGTCAAATTCTCTTCCATTTTGGTAATGAAATTTCAAATATTTCGCTATGATAAATAATGTACGTTGTACCGTCTGTAATTTGTTAGATTTTCAACTGACATTTTGAAGTACATATTTAAAACTTTGATACCTTAGAGGATTTCTGAATAGGGATTTCTAGATAGTATCAATTGCTTTTCATTTGTTGTACATATTCAAATTACATATGTACATATTTTATCATACTGATCTAAAAGGCATACGTATACTTTGTTTGTATTGTCTGTAATTTGTTTGATATAAATTATTTCTCTAAATATTTATGCAGATGAAACAGTTTAAGAAATATTGTATGTATATTTTCAGATTGTTATTCTTGAAAATTATAAGGGAAAAAAGTTTTGGCCAATAACAACAATAAATAACGCAAGTGTTCCCAAGCGGTCACCCATCCAAGTACTTAACCGCGCCCAATGCTACTTAACTTCGGTGATCGAACGAGAACCAGTGCATTCAGCATGATTTGATCGTTGACCAAAACAATAGGAATCTTTCCTGACAGAAATTTTACAAATCACATATTTAAAATAAACTAAAAAGGTACTTAAAATATTCATGCTAGAAGATATTCATTTCATGAATTCAAATTATAAATTGATGATTATTGAAAATACAAAATATATTACACATTTGAAAAGCACTTTCTCTAAATGTCATCGTGCTGGCATCTATCGTTCGTCTTAAGAAGTACACTATTCACTACCTTTATCGTCGATATATGAAGCATGATCCATTCTATGATTAGTTCAGGATTAAGTTTCTAAAAAAATCTGTATATATAAACAACCCTCGATTTTTCAATTTTTTTAAATACCATGTATATACATATATATGCAATAATGTTTTATAAGTATCATTGGTTGATCCAGCATGACAAGAATCAACCAATTAGATAACTGGAAGGACAATTCGCATAGTGTGGCTATTAGAATGTATACAAAAACTTTGAAAATGTAATATATATTTTATTTATAGTTGAGAGAATTAGTTAAAAAAGTTACGGGAAGACAACTTTACCAATAAAAAAGTTTTAGACAAATATTATTTTCTAAGGTAACACATGGTGATAAACAATTGTAACAACTGACATGGTTACAGAGGCGTTTACGATCGACTAAAACGTTTGTTAACGTTAAATTTCGTTTGCGAAGTAATCAAGAGATGACACGAATAAAGTGTCGCTATATCGTAAACTTTTATAGTTCCGGTAAACAATAATCATACGAGAAAGTGTGTAATTTAAAAGCATTACCAATGGATGACGTATACAAACGTTACAACAGCAATGCTTCGCCAAAGGTTCACATAAAAGAATATTTCGATGAATATCTTGATATGGTAGCATCTGCAAACTATTTTTTATCCGTGAAAAGAGAGGACAGAGATTTTGTAGCACTCATGGGTGTTGAACTTGGCGAGGAAGAAATGTCTATGCTGGCTAATTATTGCAGGTACCTTATTTCATGTCTTTCATTTTAGGTAATATCAATTTTCTTCACATTTTTGATTCTATGAAACATATACTTTGTTATTAGTGTTGACAATTTAACAGTGGAAGGAGAAATGCCACAAATAATTGACACTAGAAAAATGAGGAAGAAGGGAACATTTGATCCCCAAGAACCATTGGATGTAGACTTACAGACTATTCAGAATCTCAAGAGAAGATTGAAGCAAGAAGTCAAGCGACCTCTTTACAAGTATCAAAGTGAATTATTTATAGTAAATGTCTATTCTATACAATATCAAAATGAAAAAGGAAGCTTCTTATGGTTGCAAATATTTTGTTTTAGCACCATGAAAAAAGTGCAGAAGCAAATGGTCAAATTGCTATTCCAGGACAAGATATCCTAGTCTCTGTTAGGATTTATCATCCTTTTGTGCAGCGTGCAAGAAATAGTTTGAGATTGGAGTGTGGTACAAGACTTCGATTGAATAATATCACAGCTATATTAGGCTCTCAAACACTTGCACACTTACGAGATAAAATATCTTGCATTGCTGATCATAGTATTTCTAGAGAATGCAGTGAAAATTTAGATAATGCAATAGGACTAATGGCAAAAGTAATTTACCTTTTCAATCACTTCTACTAGTCTTATAACATCTATATTTAATTCTTGTCTACTATTTTAGGATGTGTACAAATCAGGATTCTTTTTTATAGAAGATACTTTTTATAATGATACTAGATATCCTACAAATGTTGATTATAGCAAGGTAATCATTGAATGGGCACAAAGACGGCCAAAGTTAGGACCTTTCAACACTGCCTCGATGGAAACATGTAGAATAGATTCTCTGTTCTTAAGATTTGGTTTTCCATGGGTATATAAGCATCAGGGTGGTTGTGAGCATTTAATTGTATTCAGTGAAGCAAGGTAATTACCATAAATTGTGCAATAAATAAAGTATAAATTAATTATATCCCGAATGTATATTGTGTAATTATTTTAAGGTTGATTAATTGCGACGATGATTTGGCTGTATCCACGTACCCACAGATTGTAAGACTAAGACCCATATCTTCTAAATTTTGTATGATATGTGGTGTATACAATGTACAATGGATCACGTTGGAACATGAGAGGATTCCACATAATCCTTGCTACTATTGTGACAGTTGTTTTAAGTCTTACAATTACATCGACAACAAAAAAGTCGGAAATTTTCAAGCGTACGCGTACCCACGTAATATCGAAGCAGTAAAAGGAGAAATAGATATATGAAGAATATCATTGCATAACTACAATAAATACAATTATTTTCTATTACAACATAAATTATTTTATTGATGATTTTAAACTATATAATTTCCTCAAGTTGTCCCTGGCACTATTAAGTTCTGGTTTAATTTCTAGTGCTTTCTTGTACATGTGCTCCGCTTCGTCGAGTTTATTCCATCGGTGGTATAATACACCTACATATATTTTACCAATACAGAAATTAAAAGCAAATCTTAAGAGCTTATGTATGATACTTGAAACTTTACCCAAATTCGTATAAAACATAGAATCCGTAGGATTTCTCGATATTGCATTTTTAAACTGCACCTCCGCTTCTACGAAATTCCCAGATTTGCCCAATATGTTTGCAATATTAAAGTGAATTGAAGCATCGTCTGGGAGAAATTGTAAGGCTTGGTACGCAATTTTAAGTGCATCATCGCGCATACCTAAAATATAGACTAGTATACTATACGCGAAGATGGTATTACAAACTTCTCTTCCATACCTAGATCATCAAGAAGTAATATCATGTTTGTCCATGCTCTTCTGTGGCTCTTCTTCTGTGTAGTAGCAGATTCCCAAGCCTTTAAAGCTTTGTCATAATTTTTCTGTTCTAGATACTGCAATTCACGTTGTTTAATTTAGAAAGGATACATTTGTTTTTCTCTATAAATTAATATTCAATTACTGACCAGGACACCTAAATTATAAAAGCAATCGGGATACTTGGATCTATAAGACAGTGCTGTCAAATAGCTTTTTTCAGATTCTTCATACTTCTTTAGGGCCGACAGAACAATGCCTAAATTCATCCATGCTGTAGCAAAGTCATCCCTAAAACTCACAACTTAGTGACACTATGTTTCTAATTGGAAATTTCCAGACGTTCATTACATTAACTGTCCTATTTTCCATTGCATCTCAAATAGTTGATTGTAATCAGACTTACTGCAGTTGTATAGCCTGCTTAAACAAACTCTCTGCTTCTAAGTACATTCCTTGATCCTTGAGTAAGTTACCAAGATTATTCATGGCTTGAGCATACTGGGGATTCAATCTATTTAAAACCCAATGATATAGTGTTAATCCACATGGATCTATCTTTTAAGTAATAGTTTTATATTTTTTTATACCTTAGAGCTTCTTCGTATTCGTGGAGCGCTAATGTAGAGTTCCCAGCGTCAGCAGCATTCTTAGCAATGTTATAATGAACTTTTGCATTCAAGGGGCAAACATGCAACGCTGATCTGAAAAGCGAGGTTTCAGTTTTCCATTGTTCGCTTCTTATCCAAGTTCTTGCCAAAAATAGTGAAACGAGAATCATATACGCTAATAGGATGTACTGCGCAGAAACGCGATTACAAATCTTTTGTAATCCTATAACAAGCAGAAGGCAATAACCAGCAGAGGGAATGTATAAAGTTCTTTCTGCTAGGACAAAACCAACATTGAAGAAGATGTTGCTAGCTGGTAGGAATGGAACTACCAGCATTGTCAATCCTATAATTGAGTATCTATGAAGAAAAGTGGAATTTATTTATGGGAATTTTATAATCATATAAATACAGGACAGTACAGTTACCTTAGACATTTATCTTTATGGGGTCTGAAAATGTGCACAATCATCGTATTAAGTATCAGCCAGAAAATAATTACAAAAATTATTCTCTCGTCACAAGTTGTGATCAAAGGTACACAACCCATAGACCAGTCAAAGCACAACCATTCAGGACATATCAGTAGCCATACGTTTAAGCAATAAATATAACTGTAATTCAGTATTCTTAAGAATATATTATCCATGAATGATGCTGGGTTGTCCACAGACTGAAAACTTGGTGGTTTAAATCCCATAACACTGAACCTTGAAATTATAAGTATGAGACCAGATGCAAACAATATAAAAAGTCTGATTAAAAGTTTCTGTTTCTGCTTGATGAAGTTCTTTACTTCAGTATAAGAGGATTTTGTCTTTATAGTTGTGATAACATCAGATGGGAATACTTTATGAACTGTTACAAGATCATATACACTGCAAATCCCCTAAAACAAAATTTAACTAATGATTTGTATGAAAATATGAAAAGCTATTCATACTTCTTACAATTGCTGTGATTCCTGTCTCCTTGCATAGCATTGCAATTGCAATGGATGTAATGCAACCACACATGCTGCAGAATCTGTGCAATAGTCTCTTTGCATGAACTGAATAATGATATAGCAGAATAGAGAGCCACATAAACAGAGCACACAACAATTCAGCTCTACCTACAATGCCTGACACCTGTATATCAAATGAAATTGTTAAATTTAATTTATGCTTGTTTGGTATAGTGGGTTCAGTCATAATCAATTAGTTCTTTATGACTCAAAAAAGTAATATAAATTGATAAAACATACAGCCTCTGCATGTATTGGATGAACAGCAAACAATGAACTGGCATAAAATGCTGTTTTCTTTTCCTTTGAGCCTAATAATATATTAAACACAGGGAATAACAGGACACAAACACCTGTATGTAAGACAATGTTTACCAGATGATAATCTTGAGCAATCAACTCCTTACGGAACCAAAAATGCAATCTAAAAATGGTGTAAACATTTATTGCTGAAGTATATGTAACAGTTTCTGTTCTTTAATATATTCTTACCTAAAAGTTAATGTTGTTAGTGGTCTATATGATTTGTGACTTTGAATGTTAGTTAATTTAGTACCCCAAAAATCATTTTTAAATATATCGTTGAGAGGAGTTGTTTGTACATCCTCATTGTTAACAATGGCTTCGGAATCATCAAATACAAAGTCACCATTATAACTATTAGCAAAGCACAGTGATAATAAGGTGATTATAAATAAAGAAAATGGCAATGGAACATCTGAAAGAATAAAGTTACTAATTGGAAGTGTAAATTCTGGGCACAACAATAAATTCATTAGAAGAAAAATTAATTAATCTACCAGGTAACTCAAATCTTCTCCTTGATAACATATTTTTGTCTATTGAATTAAATTTATTACATGTTCACATACAACTTTCTAGTGTTTACATGATGAGCTTTGATCATTTGTCCATTATTAAATATTCGTTAGACATTTATGGAATTTCTTACAAAACATTCATGCATTCCTTATGCACACAAGAATAATGAAAACATTCTACAGCCCTCTCACAATTTCAGTATCAATACCCGACGTTACCGATAAAGCATGAATTCTGAGTATTATTAGCACAAATGTAGCATTATATATTCCATTCATAATACGTGTATTCAATATGATTTGGTGGGAATAAAAATATCCGATGCTTCGGTTTAAAGGATGAATATAATACTGATGAAATATGACACGCGAAAGTATATATTTTGTCACTTATCTATAAGATAACTTATTCTAAATGCATCGTTAATGGCCATTTTAATAATGTTACTTTTTCCACGTTCCTTTTTTATTCGTTTTTATATTTTCTTTTATCTGATAACATGATATAAGAATCTTAATACGCACAATATAGTTAATTAAATAATGAACTTCGACCCAACTAGAGCTCTGCTAGTCGAGCTTTCTCCATAACAAATAGTTTTGATCTATTATTTAACTGGTAATATTTGTCAGATTGTATTTCATAAACTTTGGCGCCATTGTCAAATTGACAGTTTATCATAGGTGGCGTTTGAGAACCATTAGAATTAGAAGATTGAAAACTTCGAGAAGACGGCAGCAAAATTAATATTTTCCATCTAAACCGAATTGGAATCACATTTTCGGGAATAGTGTGTGCCTCTTTGTTTCCCTTTTATGATAGACATTCCCTTTTGAGTTAATCTCGGATGCATATGAGAAAAATATATTGAAATATAATTTGGCGGTAAATATTTTATTTCGTTCAAATAGAACGTGGAGTGAACAAGGATGCGACCAATCCTCACATTCTTTCCCAACTGACGCACCAATCACAGGCCTCATGCATCACCGAATCAACCAATGACAGCCAGTCAGCCAGTCTAACGGTCATTCGTCTCAGGGAAGCTGGACTGATTAGACGTAAAGTGATCTCGTTCGTGGCGAAGTAAGTATTATTACTTTTCACTTACAATTATTTATACTATTAGTATCTTCGTTAGCACTTTATCGCTACTTTCGTTCAATATCTATTCAATTCAGCGTACATAATCGTAAATTAACTCGGTATTGCTGGATTAAGTGAACCGGTTTCACGATTTCTGTTCCCCCTCGATACCAATTCGTATTTTCGCAGTTTTTGTTCAATTTGCAATCTTTGGCCACACTCCTGAGTCAATAATTGTTTCGTTGTGACTTAGTCATTGTTAATTTAGTATAATTACTTGGTATTAACGTTTATTTTCTATTTCAGAATACCGGCTAGAAAGAGCGGGCCACGGATGATATGCCAGTGGATTCTCCCATTACATGCAATTTGGAGGGAAATTGGTGAATATTGGTGATGTATAATAACAACATATGTTGCATTCCACTGCATATTTTTGTTTTAGTGCATTGTAAATGTTTTAACCGTAAATATCGCGATTTGGTGATTTAACTTTGCTAAAATCGAACAAAAATTTTTTCGAGAAATTTTTAACGTTCAAACGCGCAATTGAAGCATACAATATGGCTTCCTTGACCATTAGGGAATTTAAACGAAAATGCTTCTAGTCGTTTCTATTCGGAATGCTCGTACTTTACTGCATCTCGGTCGCGAAATTGTTTCAATTTTAATCATTTTACGAGTTTATCTTTACGAAGTCATCGTATTTGTATTTGTATACGGTTTCAGATGTAAATTTGATTATATAGAAGTTGCGTAGTTTATCAAGCTCATCAAAGTTTGAGTAAATAACGAAACTTTTATATTTGCAATGATTATCTGAATATTTATCAAATTCGATACGTGATTTAGACGGAAAGAACAAGCATTATTAAACTCTAAGAACGAATGTCAATTAAATTCACATTTGTAAAGTTATCATTGAATGGCAATATTTTCAGAGTAAACACTTGGTGTAATATAAAAATAAAAAGGATAAGCCGGTGCACGTGCGCCGTATTGTGTTTCTTTCCCCTCCTTTTTTTTCAGAGTTTGGTGGCCGCGCGCAAGGCGGTCGAGTCGAGTCAGTGTTTACAATCGTACAAGTTGTTTATGTTTGCGCGCAGCGAACTGTCTCAGATTACAATCTCACCGGAGATGTCGTTAGGTCCTCGTGAAAGTTGAGTCAGTGTTTGTTGCGTACAATCCATTACTTTCAGAGTTTCGGGATACTCTGCTTTTTAAGTCGCGACACTAGAGTCATTTGTTCGCCGGTTGGAATCTTCGGTCGCGATAGTCTTTTATATTAACTTTTTTTCTTTCTGAAAGTATTCGTTCGCGGTGGTAGAGTCAGTGCATCACTGAAGAGGATGTTTTTGGGCGATGCTCTGCAAATGGACATTGTAAGTACCTTTATATTTTATTATTTACACTGTTCAACTGAAACAGCTAGAATTTTCAGAAGAGGTTATAACGAATTCTGTTCCTTTTTTTTCAGATTTTTTCAGATACTGCATAAACGACCACTACAGAGGATGTTCTTAAGCGAAGCTACACGATTTTTCGAGATTCTTCCAGTCTTATAGGGAGCTCTTCTATCATCGGGTGAGTCGCATGCTTTTATTCCTCCAGTCCCCAATCATGTCGTAGGACGATTAGTCCGAAGCGGCACGGGCGACAGGTTGTATACGTGCTTTTGGCGAGTACAGTGAACGCGGATATGCAATCGTACGATTGTGTATTCGCGAGTAGTATTTGATCTGTTATTTTTCTTAGTTAGGTTAGGGTCTTCTTGTACGCCGCGCTTATTATTAGTAATATAATTCATAAATATTTTGTATTCAAAGTATATTTATGAGTTAAATATTCAATGTTTGATATGATGCAGACGAAACGACATTGGATATTTTGCATTTTTTTTAGTGCTTCAATTTAACATGAAATCTTGACATTTCAAGATAGAGGGATCTATTATTTAAATAATTTTTATTTTTTTTTATTAATTGAGTATATGTCGTGGTAGTACGTTATTCATTTCACTAAAAAATGCAGTAATTTGAAGATGATGCGTATAATAATTTTATTGTAGTCACTTCAGTATATTGTATACTCATTTCCATTTATAAATATAGCATGAAATAGTTCTACATAAAGAGAATTACATAATATAGAAAATACAATAAATTCGCAATGGCCTATAAATAACGGTCAGCTGATAAAAAAAATAATATTCATATCATTAATGTGTGCAAATAAGTATCGTCGGTAGATTCGAATATAAAGTAGAAAAAACAGAAACCACACCGATATGTTTATGATAGAGAGGAAAACGTGGTGGTACCTTCCTGGATAGGCATGTGTAGCAGTTAGCGCAATACCACGAGACGCGACAGTACGTTTCAATCCCGGAACCAGTGTCGCGAGACACAAAGGTATCATTCGTATTTGCAAGTTCCATGAAATAGTGGAACACGTGTATTGGGAATCGCAATAAAGTATCGGTGCATAAAAAGAAGACGTATTAAGTTATGTCACCTGTGCATCGATATGCACGCCCTAGTGAAAAACCGCGTGTTATGGAATAATTTAACACGTTGTGCATGTATGACCATTGAAAAGTGCATTGCGATTTCCAGTTATCGTGGCCGATGTTTTCGTTGCCACTGGCAAAGAACGCATACGGTTACGTACACGGGTAGAGTAATGAGACGTACTGGCGAGTACTCACGACCACTTTAATGGAGTGTGAGTGTTAAATGCAGGGAAGGTACTATTGTGTTTCACCAGCATGTATTGTGATCCACAAACATATTTGTGTGGTAGACGTATATACTCAGAAAGAATGAGTATTTATATCCTGTCCTTTAAGAAGGACAGGCCCAGGGGTGTCCATCTACTACTTATGCGCAGCATTCTTCCTCTCCGGAGGTACCCTCACTATGGTACTTGGATTGACTCGCTCGAGTCAATTTGAGGTCGGTAGTCTGGAAAACCTACGAGGGGAAGCTTGTAATTGCTTGTGGCTCGTGGGTGGCATTTGGACACCTTTGGTATTAGAGTTAATTTTTATGATTTTTAGATTAATGTTTAGTATGTTAATAAAATTTTATTTCACCCGTTAGTGAGTTAATTATTATTTTTAACAGTTATACCGTCATTTGTAGACAAATAACGCAAAGGGAAATAACTTAAATTTATTTACTATTTGAATACAGTACCTATATGCATAATATGTATGTATATC